GCATCATTTAATAGAAATCGGAAACGTGATTCTGTAAAAGTGGAGTTTTGGCCTAGAAACATAAGAGTAACATAAGCTAGCAGGAGATATGCCGGGTTGCTGCCCATCCATTATCCCTGTGTGGGCAGACTGCTCTGTCTTTAGTAGTCCCTGGTCGATTCTTTGTTGGCAAGCCGTTTGGAAAGCAATCGAAACATAAGGATTTAACAGAGAGAGAATTTGATTGGAGCAGAAGCTTTTCCTTTTAATATTCACAGTTTTATGTTGAATGTTAGCCTGCTGTTAGATCTGCACAAAACGTCATAGAAAAATTCAAGTTCTATATTCTCTTATTCTCTCTTAATCTTAGGTAAGTGAATTCTTTGCTAAACTGTGTGTGCTTGCAATTGCAAGTCAGTATTCATGAGTCACAAGCAGCATCAGAGAGTAATGTGAGAACAAAACAGTGATGTCACTGATTGTCCTCCAACACATCTATAATTATAACTGAGGGGAGAGAGGTGTGTGTGTGTGTGTCTGTGTTGGGGAGGGGGGCTTTGCTTGGCCTGCAGCTGCCCAAAAATGAAGGAAGAATCAGAAGACAAAAATAGTCGGACATGAAAGAGGATCGGAGCGAAGGAAGACTAAAGAGTTGAGGGCTGTGGAAGAGGGACAGAAGTCAGAGGAAACACGCTTGAAATTTAGCTTGTCTTTTGTACAACGCTCCCAAAAAATGTCAGTAGACTCTTAATTAAAAGTTTAGCCGCGGGATGATCTATTAACGCACTAGTTAACCAAAGACGGAAAGTTTCTGTCTGCTGACCTTCATTTGAGTTGTTGTACATGTTCTATAGCTCTGGTTAGCTGGTTGTTTCTGTCTGAGAACCATTTACTTACTTCTGGTGCATACTAGAGGGTTTTTGTGGGATACCACAGACATAACAGACTAACTGACTTTAATTATTTTAATCATAAGACGATTCAGTGAAGATGCCGGACTACACGCTTATACTAAGTAATTTCAGAGTGGTGATTCCAAGGAAATGGGATCTCACAGAATCTCGCGAGGTTAAAACATGACTACAGCAAAAAATCACACATGGAAGCAGACTGTTGTCATCAGTTGGTTACACTTGTGTGTGTGTGTGTGTGTGTGTGTGTGTGTGTGCTGTTCTCAAAAAATATAATATATAAAAATTGTAGATGAAGTCATGGCTCAGAAGACTGAAACAGCGTGGCTTATACATTTATCAGTGCATTAAGTACACAACATACGCTTGGAGATGTTCTCGGTCAGCTGGCTGTCAATAGCTATTGTGGCAGTCCATCTCTGTTCCTTTTACACTACAGTATTTTGAATAGTAAATATGAGACATGTTTGACATTTATGATTCAAAATCATTTCCCCTCTCAAAGAGCTACAACAGGATAAGACAGAAGTCCTGCTGCCTAAAAGTACTCATTTTAAAGTTCTGCTATTTTATTTTATAAATAGTCAAATGTCCAGTGGTGGAAACAGACTTATCTAGACTTAGCTAGAGGCTTCTTTGTGTCAGCTTCACTTTTGGTCAGACAATAAATTAAAAGGTTTTGAAAATGAGGATGCCTCACTACATGGCCAAGAAATGTCATTCTCCAAAATTTAACAGGGGAAATCGGGTTTCCCTACTCACATACTGCGATTACCGAAGTTTTAAAGTTTCTCATTTACATGAAGTTTAAGAAATCAGGTTATTGCAAAAACACAGCTGTAACCTGCTTTTCATACATGTTCCATTTGTTATGCCAGTTTTCTAGCATTACTACTCTGCTCTTTCCAATAGCAGTAACAACTATACCTAAGCATCTGTCAGGCTTGCTTAAGGTTACATACATTTTTAAAAGTACAATAACCTATTTTGCTTGATGTGTGTATAAATATAAAGGAAATTTAAACTTTGTTGCTTGTATATCTCCCTCACAAGCGAGATCCGTGCAGAGCTGAAGAAGTGACAGAGGGAGATCACGTTAGACCTCTGTGAGCACAGCTGATCTAGAAATGTGCTTTGTACGGTCAGATTGGGTCTCATTGTCTCGAATAGTGTCCCCAATGACATAATATGTCTCCCTCTCCCACAAGATCCTAAAAAAAATAATAATTTGCATCCCCCTCACACAATGCCACGTAAGGCCCTTCTTCTGTCCTCTGGGTTTAATGTAACTGTCATTTGTTTTTAATCCCAGTTCCCCCTCTTGTGCTAAAGCTTAATCTGGCCTATTAAACTTTATTCAGGTCTGCACTGTCAGCATGAGGATATGGCGGGGGAGACGGGGGACGCAGACATTAGATCATACCATCTGGAGCAAGAAATACACAAACACAATGAAGTAATCATGGTTGGCCTTGTTTCCCATGGCCCAATATATAGTAACGGAGGGAGGAAGATGTTGATAAAAATGCGGTCTGTGGGTAATTTGCGACACAGAGCGAGCCTCTAATTTGTTCAAACTAAAGAGCGCTAATTAGCTGAATAAAATGACTAGTCGGTGTTGGAGGGAGAGAACAAGAGAAAGAGATGATTTGTGCGTACCTCTTCACTCCGCACCAGCAGTGTGAATTTCACTGGACCGTCTCACTCATTGGTGTCAAATCTCCGCGAGGTGTGTGTGATTTTATGCCGCCGTGTATACCCACGTGCACGTCAGTGTGCCCCGTACCAGGGTGTATTCTTGTATCTGTGTGTGTGTGTTTGTGTCACACAGCCCATGTGTGTTTGCGTCTCGTCACCCTGGAGCCAGTCGTCCTCTCCTCTGACCCTGATCCCCGTCACCTGTCCGCTCAGATCACACACACACACACACACACACACACACACACACACACACACACACAATTGCTGTGACCCTTTCCTGGAGTTGAAACACAATCTCAGTTGCCAACCATGCAAAACTTGCCAGCACAGCAAGGTTTTGTTTTCTTTTTGTGGGTGTATGTATGATTCATCTGTCTGTAAGATGAACTGAAGCAATTTTACTCCACACTTCCATATAAAGACAAATTAACTCTAACACGGTACGTAAAGAATCCTGAATACAACTCCGCAGGAAAAGCCTGTAACGCCAAAGATGGCAGGTATCCCGCCCCTCCTGTTAAAGCACCAGTCGTCTGCTTTTAACAGCAGAGCCGGGATACACATTAAACCAATCGTGTGGCTCCAATAGTGTAAGGGCGTGGTTGTAGTGATGCATGCGTAGTAGACGTTTAACTGGTGGAGATCTGGAACAGATAGAAGCATGGGTAAAATATTATTTTAAATCTTGATTTCATCTGAAGCCCAGTATTGATTATACTACGTATCTGTGTAGCTTTGACTGGCTACAGTGTACAACAGTGAAAATAGGTCAAGCAAGACTAAGATCACTGTCCCACCTTCACTTTGACTGCTCAAAAGAGAACCAGTGCTATTAGACTGTTTGCATTGTTTTAGTGTTGGCAGTGCTCTTACTGACATATGCTTGTGCCCAAATATTAAGCGATATCATGTTACAGCAAAAACACAAGAAAAACTATCCAACGATATAAGGAAATATTAGAAATAGTTGAACAAATGCAATCCAGCAGCATAAAGGCCAATTTATACTTCTGTCTCGAGTCTATGACATAGCCGACTGCAAGCATTTATAACTCGTTGTTCTGCAGTGACACCGCCAGACACTTGTTGGTGGTGGGGTTTCTGTGTTCCACTTGAGTTTGTTCTTCTTCGTTGGTGTAAGCTTTTACAAACATTGGCGACAGAAACTGAGCGGATCATGTTGGAGTTAGCGCTGATTGATGTTGAACAGCAGTTACTTTTAGTGGAATGACTAAAACCCAGAAATGAGAGAAGGCAGTATGTACGACCCTCAAACCAGTTAAGGCAGAAGAAGATAAACCGGGAATACGATGCTACCAAGCCGACCAGTCTTGGTTCTTACAGTCTGTGCTGTCGCGATGTATAGTTACGTCTTTGTGGAGTTGTGGGTGATGGTTTGGTGTAGGTTACCATGCAGAAGTATAAATGGGCCTTAAGTGGTAGTCAGAGTTTTAACTTAAAGTTCAATTAGACAAAACATGGAAGGAAGTTGGAGTTTCTCCTGCAGCTTTGCTTCATTTATTTGTTATCAAAGCTTTTGCTCCCAGTTATTCACAGCTTTCTATGTATTAACCAATGGACTTGTGTTTTTTTTTTCCCCCAAATTGTGATTATGGCTGTCAAATTAGAGTGCATCTTCCAATAACAGCTTTAGATAGGGTTTGTTTATTTGTAAAGTTTGAGTGATGAAAGACACTTTTCTTTAACAAAGTTTAGCCCGCTTTATAACTGTTACTTACCCGCTGCAGAAGCTTGGGAGACCCTGATCAATATTGGCTGTCCGTTCAAAGTCTCTATCTTAATCTTTCCACCAGATTATAATGCACATCTTGTTACATCTATTAGATGTGTGGAAGTGCAGCAGTAGCTCTATACCACTTCTCTCCTGACTATTTCTAATCCATATTAAAAACTAAAGGATTTCGGACCAGTATAATCTGGTATATACTGCCAGTAGATTTGGACACTTAAGTCAATTTAAATTTGATAGTTTTTTTAAATTGAAAACTGTGTGCAATGGCGAGTTATACTTTTTTTGGGTAATGTGCATTTTAAACATACATACATTTGTATGCGGAGTGTTTTCAATGAAGTTCCTTTTCCACTATTTGTAATGTATTAAATATATTTGGTTTAATTTACTTCATAGTTAGCAGATGAATTTCCACATAATTTGATGTTAAAACAAGAATTTGAATGAGATTGTGTTACTTTAAAAGCATTGTCTCTCTTGTTGACAGGGTGTGTGAGAGATACCGAACCTCTGTTTCTTTTGATTCCTCTTAAGGGACACTAAAGATGAATTGAACATGAAATCAAAGGCTTTGTTAGAACCATATCTGTCCTTATAAACTTCTCCCTTCAAGTCATCATGTTCACTTATGCTTACTATGCCGTCTCTCTTCTCAGGAGTCCAAGTCATCTGGCCGCTCCAGCATGCCGCGATGTCGGAATTCCTTCTCCACGACCACATCAGATGACCAGCCACACATTGGTAACTATCGGTTGCTAAAAACCATCGGCAAAGGCAACTTCGCCAAGGTCAAACTGGCACGACACGTCCTCACCGGAAAAGAGGTAGGCATGCTTACGTACACACGCTAGATTGGACTAAAAGCTTTAATCTGTCCTTTGGTTTCTCTTACAGAGCTGCCCTGACTTTCTGAACTTCATTTTATGTATTTTTTTTAGCCACTTGAGTCACATTCTGGAGTAAATCTTTACTATTGACTCTTTATTTAACTAGAAACTGTTTGCTCAGTGTTTCAGTAAAAAACACCAGCAAAACCAAGAAGGCCTATTTAAGAGGAAGAAATATAGAAACATGTTTTTGTTTAGCAAAGTAAGTAAATCTATCACCAAACTGCTTTGACTCTCCCACTTAAAACCAAGGGAAATTACCATGAGAAGTAGTTTGCAGGTGAGGAAACCTGACCACTTTTGTTTACCAAAGACTGCATTTTTTTAGCCAGAGACCAAATCACCAAAAAGTATTCTGATTAGAAAAGAAGCCTTAGTTTTTTTGTTTGTTTTTTTAACTAGCCAAGATGGTAAAAAGTAGCGTATCAATGTTTAGCTGATGTCTAAACGTTAATCTTCCCTCCTGGTTGCTGAAGATAGGGGAGGGTTCACTCTGTGCTACAGATCGGTCTGGTCTGATCCTGGGCTCGCATGGCTTTGGAGACTGTACATCTGCTACAGGAGATTAGATCACCATTGTCAGCTTGAACAGAGAAGCCTAAATGTCACCGGCTTACTGTAAATTCCAGATGTGATGTAACGTGGTGGTCTGCCCCTTTAAGGGAAAAGCTGCGTCTGCAGTGAGCCCATGCTGGGCTCTGTCTGAGGCCCAGTCAAGCCACCGCTTGGTCTGTGCGAGAGGGAGCCAGAGAGGGGTGGGCGGGCTCTGTCAATGTGTGACAGCCCTGTGCCTGACACCCTGATAACACTCCATGTGACTCGCTGGCACACACACACACACACACACACACACACACACAAAGAAAACAAGGGAGAGTCAGAGGGCATGAAAGACACGGACTGACAAGCACAACCAGAAAGAGGAGAGGAAGAAAGGAGTTAGTTGATGGTCAAAGACAAAGAGAGAGAAAAGGGGAGAGAGAAGTAGATTTCCCTTTTCTGTTTCCTTTTTAGAGATAATTCTGTCTCTTTTTTCTTCTTTTTTGTTCTGTTTCATACCTTTTTTTTTCATACATCTCTCACTTTGAATCTCTCCCATCTGTCTGTTTTTCCATTTTTATTTTTCTCTTCTCCTTATTTGTCTCTTTCCCTTTCTGTGATTTATCTCTCTCTCTCTGCCTCCCTTGTCGGTCTCCACTGTGGGATTATGAACTACAGACCTCATTACTGCATGGGTATAAACCATGCTTCAGCTCTGTGTGTGTGTCCCTGTCTGTGTACTGCCCTATTATGCAACTGTCACCTGCTGTGATTGTGTGTTTATCACTTAATGCTGTGAGATTGTATTGTTCTGTGTGTGTGTGTGTGTGCGCTGTGGTAACAGGCTCTAGCAGTTCAGGTTTGTGTGAGTGAGATGCATCAAAGCCACTGCAGCAAGTGTAATTAATGAATAAAAGTGAAATAATAAATGATCACGTTCTTGTTTTGTTTCTAGGTGGCTGTAAAGATCATTGATAAGACACAGCTCAACTCCTCCAGTTTGCAGAAGGTGGGTCTCGCTTTCCTCCTTCACACACAAATACAGGCACAAAATTCAAACCTCAGTCCTTATCTTATTTCTCGGAAGTCATTTTCAAGTCACTCTTCTTGCCCCACGTGCCGTTCTCTCTTTAGCCCCCCCCCCCCTTCTCTCTGTCAGTCTTTCTGAAGTGTTCTAGTTTTCAGAGAGAGTTTTAATTACAGGAAACAAGCTGCAATTACTTCTTTTGATCGTGGCAGGGTGGGGTCTGTCCACTTACACGCACACTCTTTAACCGTGTGTCCTTACACACACACACACACACACACACACACACACACACACACACACACACACACACACACACAACAGACACTCATGCATCTGCAGACATAAGGCATAGGATACACACTGGTGTGCAAATGTAGACACACAAAGCACATGGCAAGAAAATGTTAAGACATGGTGAAGACAGAAATCTAGTGATAAATGCTAACACTCACACCCCCTGTAGACGCCTGCAAATCCATGTGCACCAGGACCAGAATTGGCAGGGAAGTCATGATATTATACTTTACTAGGTCTTAAAAGATTTAGTTGAAATGCCTCCGTACAGGCAATGGCCACGGTCGGAGGCATTATGTTCTCAGGTTGTCCGTCTGTCCCCTTCTTGTGAACGCGATATCTCAGGAATGCCTTGAGGGAATTTCCTCATATTTGGCACAAACGTCCACTTGAGGATGAACTGATTAAAATTTGGTGGTCAAAGGTCAGGGTCACTGTCATCTCAAAATGACCTTGATTAAAACATTTCTGACCATAACCCAAGAATTGATGTGGTAATTATGACAAAATTTCACACAGATGTTTAATGTGATACAACAATGTGATGTCATTTTCTACCCAAAAGGTCAAACATCACTGTTTTGACTCAAAGGTCATTGTGACCTCCAAATAGTTTTTCAGCCATAATTTAAGAATGAATTAGGCGATGCCAGATTTCACACACGACTGGGACGACACAGTGAGTAAACAATAACTAGCACTGTAATGGTAATTCTAGTTTCTTCATTGTCAACAAACCCGATGTAAAGACCAAAACCAACAATGCATTAGTCCATCTAAATACTTAATGTATTTCATACCATGTTGGTGGCACGCAGTCCAAGCCTATTCATTTCTACTGAAGATCTAAACCTTAAAAAAAATGGGTGAAATTGTTAAAAAGCCCGTGCACTGTAGTTTTTTTAATCAAATGTTACTAAAATATGTGTAAATAGTGTATTTGTTGGGCCATTTTCAGCCACAGATCTTCCCATGTTTATGGTAACAAAGGAACTCATCACCCAGAGTGCTGCAGATTGATGTGTTTTTAATCATTTTTGGACACAAAGGAAAAACTAAGAATATCTGCAGTCCAATCTTGTAGGCCAGATATGTGGTTGTACGTTAGTTTCTGCGTAGCTGCGCAGCCTGAGCACATAGCCGGTTTGGCTACACCTCAAAGCATAAATCCACCTTTAAGGTTTTGATTTAACATACATACATAGAGAAAAACGTCCCTTCATACCTTTACCACAGAAAGAGGCCGGATATCTTTTGCAAGACTTAGGATGAATTAAGACTTTGTATGCAGTACTTTGACATATCATGTAAGAGTTTACAAACAGCTGAAGACATTGTTTATTTAACTCTGAAATCCTGAATGCCAGACTGTGGATTTTAACCAGTATTTCTTGAAACTCTGGTATGTCATCACTGAGCACATTTGTTTTTGTTTTCTTTCTTGTAACTTGACCCCCATGCTCATAAACAGGAAGTGAATATTTGTGTTTTCAGTGTCCTTTCACACACTACAAATATTTATTCTGGAGCCTTTGCAATGGCACAAGAAATTACAGTTCTTACGGGCTCATCCATGCAAAATCAGTTGATATTAATTTGCACAAGAACCTGTAGAATATAAATGTAACTCAACACAAAAATACACATTGACACTGGCAGCAGCACCAACCTAAATGCCAGCGTATTTGACCCAGCACTCTGTGTGGCTTGTTTCCCGTAGCTCTTCCGAGAAGTGAGGATCATGAAGATGTTGAATCACCCCAACATAGGTGAGTCACAGTGAAACAGGAGTTTCCGCTCTGTTGTCACTCACTGAGAACAAGATTTAATTGCTGTTTCAAGGTCACGTATTCAAGCCATATCATAATAATAATTTCTCTCTCTAATCTCCTTATTTTTGCTTTCACTCTTGCTGCCCTGGCCATTTCTTTTTAAACACTCCACTATTTCCACTTGCCTTTCCCACCCCCTCCAATCCGCTGTCTTTGCCTTTCTCTCTCCACCTCCAGTCAAGCTCTTTGAGGTGATAGAGACAGAGAAGACTTTGTACCTGGTAATGGAGTACGCTAGTGGAGGTAAGTGCGTGTCACTGTGAAATCATTCCCCCTGAGGCTTGGCACTCTGTATGTTAGACTCAAATGGTTTCCAAATAAAAATTCTACTGCCCCTCTTTCTGTGCAGACTCTTTTGTAAGTAGTTTGTCCAAACTGTTATCAGAAATATCCTGTTTTTGTTTGATTTGTTTAGGTTTTTTGTTTAGTTACCAGATGTATTGCCATTTGCATTGACAATTACTGACATTTTACATTTTAAAAATAGCCTGTATTGAAGAATTTGGGTAAGTCCTTATTGTAATTGCACCTTTAGCTCATTGTCCAAACTGTTTTTAAACAGCAGTACTTGGTTCAGTGTCCCATTGACCCAACTCTCTTGCTTTAAGGAGACACACCCGGTTCCAACACTAAATCTGTTCTTCTCCTCTTTCTCTTGTCTCCCAGGAGAGGTCTTCGATTACTTGGTTGCCCATGGCAGGATGAAGGAGAAAGAAGCCCGTGCCAAATTCAGACAGGTGTGTGTGTGTGTGTGTTAGAGAGAATGCATATTTATGTGTGTAGTTTTATGTATTTGTGTAAATGCTTCTGCTGTTTAAAGGCATGTTGGACCGAGATTAAAAGTATGTTGCCCCTGTGCAGTTCTATAACTTTGGGATCATGTGTTGAATAACAATAGGTGGAGTGGGAGCAGAAGCAACAATTTTGAAGGACATATATATATATTGATTTTAGATTAAAAAGTAGTAAAAGTAATATTTGTCTAATTTATCAATAAATACTTAATTTATTTGGGGGTTGTGCTGTGAAAATAGCCTATGTCAATTGTTTAAAGAGGTGGTATTATGCTCTTTGTTGGGAGTTGCACATGCGCAGTTCCTAGTTAAGGACTACTAGCCAATCCGAAGCAGAGAAGGGCGGGTCAGCGAGAAGCCCGTAAACAGCTTCGTTTCAGCTGTATATGTTGCCGACCACAGTGTCGACACAGGGATGAAATGGAAACAGCTGGACTACAAACAAGCTGTTTTCAGGCAGTTTTTCAGAGCTTCAGAGCTTCAGAGCAGAGTTTTCTGTGGGAGATGGAAACTCCCTTTGGGCTGGACTTTGGGCTTGTTCACTTTGCAAACCTATTACAGGCACTAAAAAGGTATATAGAGGGAAAAAGCCAAAAACCATTATACCACCTCTTTAAATAAAGCTTAAATGGAAAAAACAATGTGCATTCTGTATATTAATGTTTTTATTGATTGAACCCCTAGTACTTGATCATGATCACTAATGATGGAATCCCAATGAAGAGTTCAGCTCAGTGTCGTCAATAACCATTTCAACCTGTCCATCTTCACTCACTTTAACTCACTTTTTCACTCTCCAGATTGTGTCAGCGGTGCAGTATTGCCATCAGAAGTGTATAGTACACAGAGACCTCAAGGTGAGAACACACACATTATTGAATTACAGAGTGTCAAAGCACAAGCAAGCATGCTCCCTCCCTCCCTCCCTCCCTCCCTCTCTCCCTCTCTCTCTGTCTCTCTGTCTCTCTGTCTCTCTCTCTGTCTCTCTGTCTCTGTGTCCACATTAATCTTCACAGGATTTTAATTTCTGAAATGAAATCCCGTCCCCATGAACAGGCGACCCAGAGGTTAATCAAAAAAATATAAAGTCCCTCTTCGAGTGCTGGGGGATAACCCCCCCCCCACACACACACACGTGTGTTCTCCTACTGTGTATGTATTGTGTATCCCCATATCATTAGTTTTTCTGCCTTTCTTTGATTCTTCCAGGTCATTTTGGTTCATTGTATTATGCAAAGTTGTAAATCCTCTTATTGTGCCAGCAGACAGACCTGTAGACAAGACATTATCATGATTACTGAGACGGTTACCATACAAGAACGCCTCCTGTCAACGTTGTTTTTCCCAGTCATGGCTATTTTTGGCTTTATTAATAAACATTTTCAATGCTTTGACCACTGTCTTGAAATTTTCTACACTTTTTTCGTAATGACGGATGACATTTATTAAAAAAAAAGGCAACATGGGATATTTCTTGAGTATTTTCATGATTATGATGCACATTATCCTAATCACTTCTGATCTGTGGGTTGTAATGTGAAATCCAGCACACGCTTAACTCTAGTTGGTCCTACGCTGCAAGAACATATTTTGATGAGTCTGCATTTCACAATGTGTCTGAAACCACTCTGTGTCCCAGAAAGAAGAAAAAAAGAGAAGCCGATGTTCATTTATTACTTAGGTCAGAGTCTAGATATGGTGTCAGTGTTGTAGTTAATGTGTGTTCACACACACACCGAAGCGGTGAAGTATTCAGAGCAAGTGAAAAGGAGAGCGCACCTGTTGCTAGGCAACCCCAGCCTCCTTCTTCCCTGGCTTAACACACACGCACAGTGGAATAAACTGTGGCACTTCACTTTGCCCATTGTGTGCTTCTTGGAGGCCATCACTATGGAACCCCTCTCTCTCCCCCAGCAGAGGTTTTCCCAGAGAAACGTGTTTCAGACTGTATGTGAAATATTTCATCTTTATATCCTCACTTGTGTCAGAGAATATCTTTGTTACTGGATGACCGGGTGACCTATTTGTTACTCAAACATTTCAGCTGTGCAAACTAGCTGTATACTTTGTGTAGCTTTGACCTTCCTGTTGAGGGAGGGAAGCAGGAAAAAGAGGTTCCATATGTGGAAAAATAAAATATTGCATAACCAGTATCACACAAAGCAAAGTCCTTGAAAAAGAATAGAACATGGAATATATTTGCACCAATGGCCTCGACTGCACTTGATTGTTTATTTTGTCTTCAGGTTAATGGTGGAGTGGGGGTGGGGGTGGAGTAGTGGATAAGACACATGCCTTTGGTATGAGAGACCCAGGTTCAATTTCCGCTGCCAATGTATCCCTGACCAAGACACTTAACCCCTAGTTGCTCCAGAGGCGTGCAACCTCTGACGCAAGTCGCTTTTAATAAAAGCGTCAGCTAAAATGAGTAAATGTAAAATGTACTTGTGTTTTATTTTTTTATTTTTTTCTTGTTTCCCTTCTGCGCTCTTCATCATAATTGTGTTTTTCTTTCTCTCCCACACCTTGTCTGCAGGCGGAGAACCTGCTCTTGGACGCAGACATGAACATCAAGATAGCAGACTTTGGCTTCAGTAATGAGTTCACTCTGGGGAACAAGCTGGACACGTTCTGCGGCTCCCCGCCCTACGCTGCCCCGGAGCTCTTCCAGGGCAAGAAGTACGACGGCCCTGAGGTGGACGTCTGGAGCCTGGGGGTGATCCTCTACACACTGGTCAGCGGCTCGCTACCTTTCGATGGACAGAACCTCAAGGTCAGGAAGAGGAGAGAGTGTGTTTTGTGTGTTCATGTGCGTTACGTAAGCAGATGTCTGTATTCTGTGGGCGGTTGTAGTATTTATCACGCTGCTTTCGGTTCCTTCTGTCCTGCAGAATGCAGAAACTAAACTAAAAAGAGTGTGAATGTGTAAAAGTGATTGAATGCCAACCCAAGTACTTTGCCTTCAAATGTGGTTTTGTGGTGTGAGGCACCAAACAGTCACTGAAACCTGCCACTTTGTTCAGTGTTCAGACAAAGGATTTAGTGCTTTCTGTGAACCATACTTATTCACAATTATTCATACCACCTATAACACTGTGCAGTTAGTCAGTTCCCATATGACTCACTCTGGAAGTACAGACACATTTTGGGTGGGCGATATAACATTGAATGTGACGATATTGATATTAAGATGCCTGCAAACTGCCATCCAGGCCTATTGAAAATGCTGTGTACTACCTCCTGCTGCGTGTAGTTTCATTCAACACCTACATGACTGGTTTTACTATTGATTTAACAGATAAGAGCCTCACTGTTTTCTGATGTCACTCAATAAATGCAATAAAATGTATTCTTTCTTTTTAAAGTGTCCAATTGATGCACTGACAAAACTTGCAAAATGTGCAGTTAAGATAGTTTTATGGGAATATTTAAGCGCTTCAAGTGATTAATCTGCCTTTATATAGGCTTAACACTTTTGTAATTTCATAGATTTGTATTCATATTCAGTGCCTCACAATAAAAGCTCCTTGAAAGCTTGTCACATACATCGCAACAGTGTTAAAGCTGTCACTACATTAATTTATCCTTCAGTGTCTCAATACATAATGATTATTCAGACTCTTGTAGTTGGACAAGTAACAATTAAAAGGTTGATAAGTTTAATATTAAAAAGTAATGTGAGGATAAAGGCTGCGGAAGTTGATATTATGTGATGTTGATTACTTGTGCCTAGTGAAGGAGCTTTTGTTAACAACTGCATTATCTTGAATTAATCATGTTTCATTTAGATTGTATGATAGTTGAAGAAAGTCTAATATCAACATAATGAAAATACCAGGAAGTGCATGAATAATATGTTTTTAATTTAGTAATTTATTTCCATACTGTATGGAAATACCTTATTTTGAAAACCGGACATTGTCACATGTGTATCCTCGAGCTAAATTCATCAAGTACGAACTAATTTGATAAATAATGTTGTATGTGGTTCTCGTATGGCATTACATGAAGACTTCACAGCCTCTCTTCAGGTAGGACTCTCATACCGCAACACTTGTTTTTGTAAAGAGAGTAACTGACAGCATAAAGTTGCTAACCTGCCTGTCAGCTCGCTTTGGTCGGTTTCAGTTACCATAATGGCTTGAATACGTGTGAACTCCAAATGTAGGTGTGGCTAGCTTAATCGCCTTATCAGAAACGAGTGACAGAAACACTCACTCAACATTCTTTTTATGGAACATTTTCAAAATGTCCAGCACAGTGTACATCCCTAGTTTTAATAGTATCACCCATCACTGTGTTAGAACTGTAGCTTTATGAATCACTAACCAGCTTGTGCAGATTAAACTATACTGATGAGATAGAGAGTCAAGTCATCTATTATTAAACATTGTTCAAAGACCTTCGTTCACAGTAAATCGTTTTCAATAGTTTGGCGTGAAGTCTACACATCTAAGAATCTAGATGTCTCGAATCTAAGGATGCGAGAGTAAAGGATTGTGTGCATGTTTGAAGGTAGATTTTTAGAGTCTGCTGTTGACTTTCCATGTCCTTCTCCAGGAACTGAGAGAGCGCGTGCTGCGTGGTAAATACAGGATTCCTTTCTACATGTCCACGGACTGCGAGAACTTGCTGAAAAAGTTCCTCATCCTGAACCCCTCCAAAAGAGGCAGCCTGGAGGTACACTGCATTGACATTGCATCTCACCATAATTTTCAAAATAAAACACATTTAGGACCCCTTACTTGATAGAACTTGCAGACTTAAACCACAATTCTTCATCTCCTAATAACTTAAGCTGTAAATGTTTATCCGCTAATGTAATGGTGTATGTAGAACCAGCATGCAAAACTACACTGTATTATACCTGGACTTGCTTCAAATCCTGTATGTGAGTTTGTTGCTGCTGAAGTGTGAAGTGCTTTTTAAAGGCATACTAAAGTAAATACTAGTTAAGTTACTAAATTAAATTGCGCTAAAGGTAATTGAAGGTGGCTAGTTTTGAATGGAAGATATTACTCTTTCGCTGAGTAACAGGTGTCACCTGCCGTATGATTTCCTTTAACATTTTGGATTCAAAACGTACCCTTAATTGTAGCTTGTGCCGGTCTGCTCTGTAAAAACACAAAAAGAAGACTTTAGCTTTAGTGTTAGAATTCAGTCCTGTGACTGTTTCATTTACACCTACCTTAAAGTTCATGTACAGTGCGTATACACGCCTAAGCAACAGATTGATGTGGTACAGTTTTGCTATGCTGTGATTCTAGACTTTTACCCTTCAAATGCTGTTTGAATCTGTGTAACCTAGCATATTAAAGATAAAATACACCTGGCTATTCTGATTAAACAGAATAATTGTCAAGATTAGTTGATTAAACAAATTAATAATGCCAAATCAATTTGTTGTCTTTAGCTGACTTCTGCATCCTTTTCCATTGCTGAGTTGTCTTGACTCATCGCTTTATCTCTTTACCTTCTCTCCTCTCCCTTCATTTCTTTACCTTTCCTTCCTCGTTGCTTTTTACCCCTCTGTTGTCTTTTACATATCTTGTCTCCTTGTATCTGTCTGTTTGCCTTGCTCCCAGCAGCAGATAATGAGGGACCGGTGGATGAATGTGGGCCATGAGGACGAGGAACTTAAACCCTACATCGAACCCCCGCCAGATTATAAGGACCCCAGGAGGACGGGTAAGCATAGAAACACACTCAAAAATGATAGATTAGTTTCTTGCTTTCCCCAAGCACAGGTACACATGAGTACTGATGTTCGTTTTCTCCACTCGCACACAAGGATCGTTTATCTTAAGGAGAATTGTGGGCCAGCATGAAGCTCACCATTCTAATTATACACTGGATTTGTGTTTGCAGACATGATGCTGCAGATGGGATTCTCTCAGGAGGAGATCCAGGACTCGCTGGTGAACCAGAAGTACAATGATGTGATGGCTGCATATCTGCTACTGGACTTGAGGAACTGTGAGGTACACACTTTCTCTCTCACACCCACACACCTTCAATTTACATAGGACCGTGCCAGTTGTTATTGGTTTGCAGGACTTCCCTTATCTTATAGTTACACTGATGTTTTACAGTAAACTGTCAAACTAACCAGCTTTTGTGAGATCATCATTATGTACAAGAAAAAAAGAGGGCTTCACTTTCATTAAGCATTCAACCTGTCAGAACATACATTTTGACGGCATATGTGCATGCTCAAAACACTTAAGAATTCTCATAACAGTACCGTGTATTTTTTGTTTTTTGTGTGTGTTGTGCTCACACCACACCGTCTCTCTGCATCTCCTCCTGGTACTTGCGTATTCATATTTGTTTGTGTTTGTTTTTGTTTTTTCTCAGCTGGATGAAATTGGCATCAAGCTCCGGCCAGGAAGTGATGTAAGCAACATAAACGCCCCCTTCCCACCTCACAATGAGAACACATATCTTCTGCTAACACATACTGAGGTCTCCCAACGGCAGCCAGTAACACAAGAACACTGACCTGACTTCATGCTTTTGAACAAAAACACTCAATCTGCTTTGACCTAGGTAGATTGTACCCTACATACATGTCAACTACTGCAGCCAGTGCCTTCCCCGGATGCGTGAATTTGACGGTGTTGTGGGTTTCATGTGTGAATGGTGCTATAGATTAACAGCGGCTGTAAATGCAGCTCTTCTGCCAGCATACTTACATCCCAGTGTGTGTCCATCTTGCCTTTCTAAGGTGCAGCGCAGTGTGTCGTCCATCCAGAAGCCTCAGAACCGCAGAACCACTGAGCAGGGTGAGATTGTGTGTGTGTGTGTGTCGGAGGAGAACGGGGCAAAGCTTGTGTGTGAGGGGTTAGGGGGGGAAAAAGTGGACAAACTGATCGTACAAAATAAGTTGTTACATGTTTTAACTGGGATGGTCTCCACTCCTGCCACACTGAAGCAGGTGTTAAATAATTTAATATAAGACGCAGCCTTCAAATGCTGTGAAAAGGGTAAAATAGTTCCGAAATAGTTTTAGAAATATTGCATTTTTTTCAAAATAACATTCATTTTGTGAACACCTGTGCACAAGTTGTGAAAAGAGGTAAAGAAAAGCAAGAGAGATGGGCTGGGTGATGTTGATGTGCAGTAGACTGGAGGGAGGGAGGTAGTTGATTGGAGGGTTAGTAGAAGCCACAAAAAAGGAGAATGATTTCTATTAAAACTGAGTGGTGACTGGAAAATGACAGACGAGTGGCCGAGCAGATGACGATGCTGATGAAAAGAAGGGTGGAGGCGTCGCAGGAGCACAGCAAGTGATGGCCTTTCTGATGCACTCCCTCTTTTTCTTTTTCAAGGCTCCTCCTACTCCAAGAGAGGGGGCCAAGCAGACAACCGGACTGCGGGGGAGGATTCTGGGAGGAAAGGTTCATCAGGCAGCTCCACTACCAAGGTGACGGCCAGCCCCCTGTCCACCTCAGACCGGAAGAAGAGCGCCACACCCTCCACCGTGAGACCAAACACCCCCACAATACTAAAACACATCAATCAGTACATTAGCATATTATGATTCCCACATCACCAGTATTATCAAATATTGCCAATTACAGACACAGAAACAAATCACACATTGCAGTTGTAGTGAACAAACAGCGTTTCCATATTTTGGAGAAATTCAAAAGCTAACTTTCACTTGGAAAGTCATTGTTGCTCTTTAGTGCAAGTTAGAGTCAACCATATTTTATCTTATGCTGTGGTCCAAAGATCAGAACAACTGCTAGTTACTAATTAAGCTAATTAAATTGTGTGCATCGTGTTCAAGGTTATCTCACAGCGGCATTACAGTTTAGTGATGTCAGTTTCTGGACTATTGTCATGTTGTTTCTATCTTTGTGTGAGGTGAAACTCTTTTCAGAACAGGCATTAAGAAAAGCACAGGTGTTACTACTACCGATGGCTCCGTTCAATTCAAGTGTTCCAGTAAGCCGTGACAGTGAGCCCAGCAAGCACAGAACAGGATCCTGAGACCGGAGCAGCTAAATGAAATTCAGCCATCGTTCATTTATTTAGTTTAGCTCATTAATTTAGTATTTACACCTACTATGACATGTCAAAATGCCCTTTTCATTTTCTCTGTATCACCCAGCTCCGTCACCCACTCACCTGTTGAGAACCACTAAGGCTGTATTAAAACTTGCTCAACAAGTGCCTGTCAACTGTGTGAGCTTACGAAGTACTGTAAAACGGATGAAAATATGTGGTCTGACCACATGTTGTATCAGTCTTAATTCAAACTCCGTGTCAGTCTCGTAACTGAAATGCTTTCATAGATTTTATGTAGAATTCAGTTAGTGATATTTTAAGTCCCTACACACCCCTAGTTCACCTGCGCAGCTGGTTTCAGTTTTGTCATGCCCTGTTAGGGTGGGATAACTGAGACTGTTATATTTTTATTGTGGACTTCGATTATGACATTGTGTAATTCAAAGTGTAGCTCGACCGGAGCAGATGACAAATCTGTGAGGGTAATGGAAAACACCTGTATTGCCCCTTTTTTTAAAAAATTATAATTCAAGAATACTAAGGTGAAAATAAAATAGTCTTCTGATTGTATGAGATGGTTTTTGACAGGCTGCAGAAAAATTAATTTGTTATACTCTTAAGGTGAAGATTTAATTTAAGGTAATAAAAAAATTTGCTCAAGGCTTGTTCAATGCTGTTAACAGTAAGAGTTGGTCACCTTTTAATGTAATTTCTCCATCCTCCGTCCAATGCACTGATCTCTCTTTATCTCTAAGTCTGTCCGCAGTCTTAAACATTTCAACATTTCTAACATTGTTCTTATTTTCTTCCTCTCTCCCTTCAGAATAGCATCCTGTCGACCGGTACTGGTCGCAGCCGGAATTCTCCTCTGACTGAGCGAGCCACGATAGGCCAGGGCATCCAGAACGGCAAAGACAGGTACACAAACACATAAATACACACGCACAATGTACAAAGAGATGTTTTCAAAAAAGATGAGGGTGTGCAGTCACGCACAGTCGTTCTCATGCACACTCTTTCCCTCGTCACTGGCAACCCAAGTAGTTCCTCGCTAACACACAAATAATACAAACGCACTCACCATGGTTTTGTGAATGAATGGTCCCACAGCTGTCTCGGTGACTGAATCCCAGACCTTGGCTGGTACTTTCCTGAGCTTTGCCAGCTGGCTCAGGGAAGCCCACAGCTTTCACCCAGGGTGGGGTGAGACCTCTTGGACAAGGAAATCAGGCTCTCTTGGGAATTTAGGCCAAACCTCCGGTAGATTACAGATTACCCGTGATGGTCTGATGGAGGCCTGCCAGTCAGAGCAGAGGGCATGCACACCTGCATTAACATATAAACATGCAGGTTTACAAATGCTGACACACAGCGACCTCAAGGCATTTACTTCTTTTTGCTCTTTTCCTTAAATAAAAAATAAAAGCTTTTGCTCAATGTCAAACCAGGGGTAGAGGCTTTGGCAAAACTCGACAAAGGGCAATAATCTTAAAGTAATAAAAGACAAAAAGCAGGATTTCTTTTCAACTGTTCTTTTATTGGATTGGTTCATATTGGAGTTGCTTGGTCATGGAGTTTTTAGTCTGTATTTCAAGGCACTTAAAAAACATCTCAGATTTAAGTCACCTGTGTCGTCGAATTTGTCAAACGGGAGTTAAAGCCTGAATACACCTCATGCACCTCCACATGTACAACCAAGCGCACATTGCTCAACTCATGCTTAACCAGCCATATGCTTTGTGTGCTTTCTCATGAGCATTAAACATTATGCCAAACCATAATCTCAACTATGATGCATTGTTCATTGTCATTACTGCTTTATTACTTGTTCATGTATCGGTCTCAAATGGCCTCCTCGTTCCCGACATAGTGCCCTACATACAAATAAAAATGATTGAACTGAATCCATGTTCAGGCTGTAAGGTCTGATAAGTTTCTTTAAGGCTATAAGCACTACATGGTGACGATGTGGTCATTTGAGACAACATTGGGTTTGTTTGATTTTTAGTACTGTGGGTCTATGCGCTATGCTAGGCTCTGCTAACTTAGTGGTTGTCATCTGCTTTGATTATAAAGTTGCTTTATTTGATCATCATTAATGCTTTGAAGTTTGGCCTTTTATACTTGTTACACCCCCACCCCCCAATTCTCCCTTTTCCCTTCATGTCCTTTTCTAATTTTCTTCGTTTGGTGTTATTTCATATGCGTCTGAGCTCTTGTCCCTCTGGATCTTGAGTCACTCACATTGTCTTGGCACGTCCTTTCTTTTCCTTTCTCCAGCTTCCTTTTTTTCCTTCCTGTCATTCATATTAATCTTTCTTCTCTTTCTTTTTGTCCCCCCTCTCTCTAAGGAGATTAGGAAGACTTGTGATGGAATATTAACTCTTAGTGGCTCTATATGGTCCCTGTACTTGCCTCTTAATAGGCTTACACACACACAAAAATACACACTGAGGCTGTGCACACACAAACTCACACACGAGTTTTGACATACATGTCACACATGCTGAAACTCTTGCCACACACTGGGTTGTCCAGTGAATGCAGTTATTTTTCCATCACTAACCGTACTAATCCCTGTCAGAAAGAGGGTGGGTGTTTCTCTCAGCTCTGTGTTTGTTTTCTGTGTAATTAGCAGCTGTTTGTTCGACCTCCTATAAATGTGTGTCTCTCTCCCTCTCCGTGTTTCTGTGGTACCACTCTGCCCTGTCTCTTACTGTGTTTGTTTCTGTGCGTGGATAAAGTCAAGATAGAGCTGTCTGTGATGTGCAGAGCTTTGTGGCCTGTAGCAACCTTGCTGATTAACAGAAGGTTCAGGAAATAGCCAGTGTTGTTTTGCTTGAGTAATTAAATAAAACTCAGGAAGAAACTCTGTACCTTACCTGCCAATTATGACCTGGAGAAAAAGAAAGCATAAGCTAATTAGTTTTAATGTAGATTTAAACTAATCTGAACTGATAACTTTCTTGAATAATTGATTCAGCATTTAGCCTAATGTCTGAAAATACGGAAAAATGGCAATCAGCCCAAGGTGACATCATGAAAATGCTTATTTTGTCCGAGCAGCAGTCTAAATCTCAAATGTATTCAATTTACTATCATGGGAGACTCAGAAAGCAGCCAATTTTTCACACTTGAGAAGCTGAACTTAGTGTATTTCCATGGCATTTCAGTTTAAAAAAGACAAACAATTTATTATCAGAATTGATACTAATTAATCAACTAATTGTCTCAGCTCTTGTGTCTAGCCTCTTAGATCCCATTCTTAACAAAATAAATCCACACCACACTGTTTTTGGCTAGATTTGCTTGTAGCTTCCTTGTCAGGAGGTTGGACAGATGCCATGGCAGTTTCACCATGAGCCATGTTGATTAGATATACATAACATGTAGACCTGCTGAGTCAAATGAGCGGACCAGTAAAATACTGAGGTGTCTGATTTGCTGAGTTTGGTTGCTTTGTCTTGAGTGTTCTTAGCAAGTAGTAGTTAAAGTTGGTCTTCTGTGCCAGGTACAAGTTACATCAAGGGAAAAAGGCAGAAGAACACAGTCAGCCTCTGATTGTGTGATTGCTTTTTGTTAAACCACAATGGAGCGCAGCTAGCGGCAAAAGAGACTTCCTTGCTCGATGTCCTTTTTTCTGTTTTCTGTCTCTTTTTGTCTCCACTTCCTCTCTTCTTCCACTGCTGTTCTCTGTGCTCGTCCCTCCTTCCTCCCACCTCCCTCTCTTCTTAATGTGTTTGATAAGTGCTGCTTCTAACCATGCTCCACCTCACCTCCCCGTCCACCCACACACAAACCCCGCCCGGTGAATGTATGTGACTGTGTGTATGTCATGCGCAAATGCATGTTTGATTGTGTGACTCTTTGGTGCGTTTGTCCTGTGTCTGTCACGTTTGTGGGTGTGTCTGCATATGTGTGTGTGTGTGTGTGTGTGTGTGTGTGTGTGTGTTGGGCGGGGCACTCCTCCTGTTCCTCCCCCTCCCATCAGCCTAAACACTCCGGGCTCCCGCGCCTCCACTGCGTCGGCTGCTGCCGTCCTCTCCTCCTCTTCCTCGCGTCCCCGCCACCACAAGTCCCTGTCCTCCTCCAATCATCCATGCCCCTCTGACCTGCACGCACCACGGCCCAGGCAAGTCTCCCACTCACTCACTCACTCACTCACTCACTCACTCACTCACTCACTCCCACACACAAACACAGATCCCTCAACCCCTTTCAGCATATACCACTTTACTCAGCACAGATCATCATCCTTCCTGCAAGAACTCGATGGACAAAAAGGAAAAAGCAGAGATGAACAAAGGCCAGAGTGATTTGTTGGCTCTGAAAGCTTCCACCACTGCTAGATTAAAGGGACAGCACCAACTTTTTTTGGGGGTGGGGGGGGGGAATGGAAAATTGTTGAATCCAAGAGAAGTTAAGAAGCCTGACCTGTGAAAATTATACATTTCTGTTCAGTTATTTTTACATGATGGGAGCATGTTTACAGTTTTATAAACATATGCAGTTTAAATCTACTCCCTTCCTTGACAATATTTTTTCCCTCATGCCAAGCCAGAACCAGGAAGTAAAGTTGGCATTAGTGTAGCCAAAAAGAAACTGCATGATGCAACAGAGTAGTGCTGATCTGAGTATGTATATTTATTTATTTACCACTATAACCATGGGGCTAAAACCAACTATTGTACACTCACCAGTTACTTGGCAACAGCCAGGGAGTAGACTCAGAAAGCTAAAATCAGTGCAGAGATGTTGACATATCTTGTCTTTGGCCAATCAGGCATCTCAAACCTCAAATTACCCCAGTGGACCGTAACGTAACAGTGAGAGCTTGAGAACAAGATGGGCAGGTTTTTTATTTTTTTCTTGTTTTGTTTTCTGGCAGGAAATAAAAAAAAAAGTCATTCAGAGAAGAGACATTTATGGACCAATAGGAATGGGGTTTCAACACACATACAGGTCTCAGTAGCTAATAAACTGTGTGCAGGCCAGCCCTTTATATAAGCCTGCATATTGGCTTGGTTGTGTTATATGCTGTCTAAGTCAAAGGAATAAAATAAGTAAAACAAGTTGAACAGGATGGCATTTCCTAGAAACATTCTGTTGACATTGCTGGGATAGTGTGTGTCATATACTGTCATCTTATGCATTTAAAGAATGGTCCGAGGGTTATGAAAAGATCAAAATCTTCAAAGTATAACAAAATCCCACCCTCGATTTAAGGCCATCAGGGACACAGTGTCAACACACTTGTGAACTGTAGCTTAAAAGCCAAGGGACAGACAGTGCAGCAGTGTTATTGAAGGAAATGAACCACATTATTCAGCATCTAAAATGACTAATATTGACATTTATAAGCTGTACAGACTTCTAGAGATGACCGGTTAACTAGCCTGCACAATGCCATTACTGCTTCTGTGTGTCAAAGGTCTGGATGTTGGACAGCATTACAGTCATATCGTTTGAAGAAAGTGGCCGTTACTGCTTAATGCAAATAAGAGCTTTAAATGAAATCTATTATGACTGCATGCAAAGGCGTTCTCCGTCGGTACAGTAATTACACTTGTCATAATCATAAATCACAAGCATTGCCCAAAGTGGTACTGAAGGAAACAATCCACATTATTCAGCATTGAAAATGACCAATGAAGACATTTACCAAACTATTGAATTTTATGTGCCCAAACAAAACCAGTCTATTCCTGAATACCTGATCAACAGAGTTTCATAAAGTGCCTATTAGGGAGCAGCATTAGCGCAGTCAGTGGAGACTTTGCTCGGGAGCCAAAGGGTCGCTGGTTCTGGTTCAGCAAGAAGGAGGTTTCATCATCAGATTGTCTGGGCTTTAATAACTACTGATGCATAAACCTGCCTCTCCGAGCCTCACTCACCTGTGTAGTCCACTTGGGGAGAACCAGACATAATGCAGATGTAATACTTGTGTTGATGCATGTTTCTGTGAAAATGTGTTTGTATAACCTGTTGCAAGTATAGATATTTTAATACTGGCATTCTGTGTTTGTCGACAAAAGGATTTTCCCTGGCGTGTACAAGTGAATTGTAAAGCAGTGGAGTCCCTTTAAAGGTTCCCCCAGCCTCTGGTTGTGTGTTCTCAAAGGTTAAGTGTTCTGTCACACAGCCTCAATCTGCTATGTAAACCCAGCTCAGTTATGAAGTCACCTGGGAAAACCCCGTCTTCATCTATACTGTGACATGTCTCTCTGAATGAATGAAATGGAGCCATGACCTGACCATGTCTTGTTGGTCATCTCCGTGTGTGTGTGTGTGTGTGTGTGTGTGTGCTTGGGTTTGTGTTTGCTGCTTTGTTGTCCAGCTCGCCTGCTGGACAGTGTCCGTTTCAGGGGCTTCTTTGATATTTTGAGTTTTTGTACTCCCTCCCCTGTTCCTTAGCTACCTTAAATACTGTCAGAGGCTGAACTGATATGCCATTTTGCACAGACAGAGAACTCCCCCCCCCTTTTTTTGTGACAGTTGTCTAGTGGGGAGGAAGAAAAGCTCCCACAAATGTCAGGCTAAAATTCAAGCAGAGCAAATGTCAAGGTGGCCCCTCCGGCTGTACGTGGTTTTGTCTGCTCTATGTTGAAGTCTTGTTCTGTTGCATGCGTCGTTCAGCAGTGAGCTTGGGCTGTTCAGAACCTGGTTGGGAACGCTGGAGAGAAGGTACCGCTCCAACACATAGACTGTAACCTGAGTGAGGAATAGGCACCTTTTCTCAGAACATAGACTGTGCCCTGAAGTCCCACCCATTCCTGCTCTATCCAGCTGTCTCCAGTTACCCTTCTGAAAAAAACCTTGCAAATACCATTCTCATGAATATACATTACTTTCAGCAGCGTGTTTAACTGCTTGAGTATTCATATATTGTAATGAAGCAAGCGATGCTGCACGTAAGCAGCTCCACATTTGTGTGAAGTAGAGGACCAGTCTACTATACGCAAATCAAGTTTGCCCATAATGAAAATCATATAGCTGCACCATGGAGACAGATTGACCTTCGTCCTGCCTTATAACACGCCTTCTTTAGATGCTCAGTCTGTCACTACTCTTTCCCTTAAATCTGAACGTGACAGTAGAAATGCTCTTTGTTGAAACATAAACATAGCTGAAACATTACAGCTTGTTTCCTCTTAGTAAAAATGTAGATCTGTCATCTTCATAACCATAATATGTCACACTGGTCCCCACCAATCTGTCTGGCCCAGCCTTTCTTTCCTTGCTCATGTATCCGTAGAAGAGCTCTGTGTGTGTGTGTGTGTAGGCATATTTCGTCCTCGGTGCACAACTTGAACACATCCACATCAAATGAACCGGGTGTGTTTTAAGCTGTTCATCACGCAGCTAGACTGTTAAACTGGACTGAAAAGCCTCTTTTCTTTGTGGAATGTTGAGTGTATTAGAGGTCTGCATGGGACTGTTTTTTTCAATCCCTCTCTCAGATGACTTTTGACCATTACCGCTTGCTCTGAGCAGATGGGCCATTCAAGTCCCGCCACGCGCTCTTGAAGTGATGTTGAAAATTTGTCTGTCCCATCCCACAGACAAAACAACACATGCAAACCTTAAAAACAGATAATAGTTATTCAGCTATCATTTTTTATATATATATATGAAAATATGACTTGTATAATATCAACCCACATTAGAGTAACCATCTCCTTTAAGCTTTTGTGTTACGTGGTATCCCAGTCCCATTGCAGCCCTCTACGGTGGATTGTCCATTTGTGTTAAGTTCTGTATATATTCCACTCAACCCGTGTGTGTGTGTGTGTGTGTGTGTGTGTGTGTGTGTGAGAGTGAGAGAGAGAGAGCTGGAAGCTTGTGATGCTTTGCCCTACGGACGCGGCAAAGAGGATTAACTGTGTGTATCTGCGCGTGTGTTGTGTGCATGTCACTGACCTGATGTGGCCCTAAATATTGACAGGGCTGACTTAAAGGATTATATGAAACATCAGAGCGAGCAGACGTTGTTCAGACATAGATACTTGTATGACCTTACACTGTGTGTGGTAAGTAGTACATTAGAAGGAAGTGATTTTCTTCTATTAATGTTTGTCTAACTTTATGTTCCTCTCCCGCACCCCTCCTAACTCCCACCCCCTCTTTTATACCTTTCTTTCCACTTCTCTCCTCACCTGTTGCCTCACCTCACGTTGTTCATCTACCTCTTGCCTCTTCTTTCCTCTCCATCCTTCCTCTTTCATGCTTTTTTCTTTTCTATTTGTCTCCTGTCTAATCTCCTTCACCCTGAGTACTTCATTTGCACCTCCTCTTCTCTGCCTCTTCACTCACACCTTTCAACCTCCTGTCTATCTCCAATCTTTTCGCACCTTTCTTCATCTCCAAATCCACTTCTGTTCTCTTCCACACCCTCCCCTCCTGTGTGTCACCTTATCTTTTCCATCCCTCCCTCCATTTCCCTCCCTTTTTCTCCCCTCTTCTATAGCGCCCCACCTCAGCGGGCGCCTGGCGCCTCCCCATCTGCCCACAACATCAGCAGCGCTGCCGTGTCAGACCGTCCCAACTTCTCCCGAGGGGTGGGCATCCGCAGCACATTCCATGCAGGCCAGCAGCGGGGTGCCCGGGACCAGCAGAGCTCCGCCTACCCTGGCGGGCCCGCTTCCCCGTCGCTGTCACATGGCAACAGCCAGGCCCGGAGGACACACGGCGCCACAGGGATTTTCAGCAAGTTCACATCCAAGTTTGTACGCAGGTGAGTAGCGGAAAAGAGAGGCAGGAACACGGGGGGGATGGGTGAAGAGTTAAAATTATACTCTATGGTTGTGGCGTTAGCGAGCAGAGAAAGGAATCAACAAGACGGATAGAACAGGAGAGGATATGTGGCATAAAAAAAAAACTTGGGAGCTTAGTAAATGTAAAGCAGTCGTGGTAGCAGCTGTTGTGCTTATTATTCTGCTACTTTGCTGTATAAGTACAGTTTAAAGCTTTTTCTGAGCATTGAGGTTTTCAGCTTGAAACAGAAAATGACTAGGTTTACGTGACAAGTCATTTCATGTGCTCATTTCCTCTCAGGAACGACGCACTGTACGTCCATGTCATCACTGGGTTTCAGGGTATTTCTTTAAAGGGGCTGGTCTCATCTCATCCCTATCACTAAACTTGTGCTGATCTGTAACTCTGCTGCGAGTAGAAAGGGAGAGGAAGGGAACAGCTGTGTCTCCTCTATAATTTAGTTTGGAGCAGCGGTGACTGGGGAGTCATTTTGGTTTTGGTTCCACGTCTGGCCCAGTTTTCATCTCGGTCCTCTAGTGTAGGTTGCAGCACTAAAACTGCTCTCGTGGGCACCTAGTTGTAATGAACTTGTTTTATTTATACTTTTTTAATTTTATCTGGAAGTGGAGTCAGTTTTCTAGCTGAGATTAAACTCCGCTGTGTAAATACAGTGAAGACCGTACACTAGTTATAAAAGTGGAAGGGAAGGATGGAGGCAAAAGCTTGTCTAAAAGAGTATCTACAAGCTCTTTGATTTCACTGTCTTGTGTGTCTAGACTGACATTTCTACTTGCTGATTTTGGCTTTTGACAAATAAATATTGGCATTAGTTTTAATTGAATTAATTTGATAAACATGAGACATTAAGCCAAAATGAAGATTAAGTACACAAGTTCTACATTGACAAAATATGTTTAAACAAAGCCATTGAATAATCATTATAGTTGGTAATGAAACTCTGAATAAGGGTTTCAATAGTTAAAAAAGACCAAAATCAACAAACCGCTCTTGATAATTTTTGACTTTCCTACCCTGTGACAAGTCCCAAGCCCATTGGTTTCCTAGTATATCTCTACAACCTGTATGTATAGTTCGACTTAATTTATTAAAAGATTAAGTAATTTCCTTAAACAGCTAGATGCTGTAGTTTTTAGCTAACATTACACTAACATGTATATATGGGGACTGTTTTTTATCCTTGGAGTAATTTATATTAGGTTAACTAAGTGAGTATTTACAACAGCAGCACAGTGTATGTGGGACTGAATCAAAACAAACCACGGTGCCTATGTTCATCATAATAAAGGAACATGTTAACTAGTGCAGCCGTGCGGCTCACAGATGTGTTTGCTAATGTTTTTTTGTTGTTGTTTGTTTTTATAACAATGGAGCTGCATGGCACAGAGGAATAAGCTATATCAACGATATGTTAGGAAGGTTTCTTGTTGGTTTTAGTATTTTCATGGAATTTGATTACAACGAGGAAACATAGATAGCCTTTAAATTACATTGCTTTACCTCTTAAATATAATTTATTGTGGATCAACGAGTTGTAGTTCTTATGGGGATGGAAGGAGGGAAATGATGAATTAGAAAAACATAAATTCATGGGCAGATACTTCATTTAGTGAAGGCAAAATTCTCTGTTTGATCTAAATCATGTGTCAAGGCCGAAGAAGTCTGTATACAGCTGAGTCAGAATGAGAGAAAATTAAGAGCACAGAGGAGACTAGAAGAGGAGTTACAAGGCTGACCGGCATATTTATAATCTGAGGCCGCCGTCAGAGTGGACGAAGTGGAGGAGAGGAAGTGACAGGAAGTGAGGGTTTAATGGTGGAACGGAGACTGAAAGAGGAAGGCCCAAGTGAGCAATGACAGAATGAAAGGCCGAGCGAGTGGGTTAAGGTTGGGATGTTCGTCATTGCTCCTGTGTCACCAGCCGGCCCGGGAGGTTCATTAGGAGAGGGGAGTAAGAGAACGGTGATTTTGTTAGCTTAAAAAAAAGATGGAAATTGAAAATGATCAAGTGTCTTGCCTGGATGCGCGTGTGTGTGTGTGTGTGAGAGAGAGTGAGTGCGCGCACACGCGGCAGCGGTACAGGCACGGCCACCCTCCCACTCGGAGATACTGTAGCTCCGTGGCGACAGTATCCATGGTTACACCGGAGATATCACTTTCCCCTCAACTATAAATACCGCTAGTGGGGACACCTTGACACACATGCACACACACACACACACAACTTGGCCTGCTGGTAGGAAGTGGAGCTGGTGGAGACAGAGATTGTGTTGCATTTGTGCAGTTTGACCGCACACATATACACTGAAGCTGTGTGTGTTTTATTAACGTATCATATAACCTCACCGCTGCACTTTCCTGCTTGGTCTGCAGAGCGATGTTTCCCTGTCCTTCAAATCCGTGTGTGTGTGTGTGTGTGTGTGTGTGTGAGAAGCAGATTAAGTTTCTCAATGTGTGTTAAAGATTAAGTTGTTGCTTAACCTGTTCTTTTCATTTGAAATGTGTCTTTGTGTGTGTATAGGAGGTGTTTTACTCTCTTTTGTTGTTTTTATTTTTTAAATGTTTTTATCACGTTTGAACTCTTCACCTCACAAACACTTCTTTTCAGGAACACTTGGGACTGGCTCGGTGTATGGGGAGGAGGTTCAAACAGAGTCTCTTAATGTAATTTTCTCATTACAGAGAAATCCCTCTCAGCTCATTAAATCCCTCTAAGGTGTTCTGGTGTGCATTAAAAACTGTCAATGTTCACACGTTCACAATAACTCCCACATTTAAACACATTAGATTGAAAGTCGTAACTAATTTTGTTGTTGTTTTTTTTATATTTGGTTATTTCATGTATGTTGCTGCTTCGATCCCAAGTGAGTTTGGTCCGTATTGGACTTTATTTTTATTTTTTTCTGACAGTTTGCTTTAACGTTTGCTACTCAGAGGGCAGCGTGTCTTTTACAGGAAAGTCTTACATCTATACGTTTTTTATACATACGTTTGTTTCTCTTTCTTTCTTTATCCCTCTTTTGTTTTTGTAGAAATCTCTCGTTCAGGTTTCCGAGAAGGTAGGCAACATCCCCAACGTTGAATATATAACCCCTTGATATATACGTATATTCTCCTCTTCATATATATTTTACATATATATATATTTCCTCCCCTTTTGGTGTTTCGTGCAGCTTTTTTTGAACTCTTCCTTTGTGCCTTGAGCGTCATCTTTTCTCCTTTATTTTTTTTTCTCCTGTGGTTGGCCCCTTATTTAAGCCTTCTGGTTTTGAGTGCCGTGTTTTGGCCCATTTTTATTTATTTTTTGTACTAACTTCTCCTCACCCAGTCACCCACTCACTTAACTTACTCACTCCATGGTCACGCGGCACTATAACACCTCACCCCTCTTTGTCCCTCCATCGTCCGTCCATCCATCCCACCTCATCCTCACCCTCCTTCATTGGTTTACCAGGTTGTGTGTGTGTGTGTGTGTGTGTGTGATCGTATCCACCTGTAGCGTCCCAGAATTAGGTTGAGTCTTATAGTGCAATAGTGCTACTTCCTTCTTGCTCTTAACCTGTGCCTTTCTTAGCTTCAGATGCAGGTAATGTCCTTCTTTTGAGTCAAACCTTACTCCAATTCTTAAAAACTGGCGAGGTAATAGTGTCAAATGTCATTCCATAGACCTGTACTAATGTCCTCATGTCCATTTTTGAGAGTAAAGAAGCACAGGGGTAGGAGACCTCAGTTTTTTAAGGTGTTATGAGAAGGTGTTTTCATTTTCATTCAATGATTGTCCGGGGTTGTTTAATGTTGCTTACCATCATCCAAGCTAACGCCACCTTCCAAGCCATCACCCATCTCACCTCTCCGCTTTCATCGGTTTGGTCACTAGAATCAGATTTTCATTAGCCATAGAGACTGAAGTTGTGTTTTTAGTTTTTTTTGGTGCAAGTTTCTGACGCTCCTACAGGGGAAGTCACTTGTAATAAGTCCCTAGCTGTAGTTGGTAGTTGTGGATGAAGGTAGAGGAGGAGAGGACCCAGGAGGGACAGGGCTGCAGTGTTTCTCAGGCTGCGCTCTTTTCTGGAGGCTGCACTCTTCCTTTCTTTCATTGCTCTGTTCTCACTCTGGCACTCGCTCTCTAACAGCAGCAGCAACAGAACTGGATGGCTTTGACCTACTCTGGCTGGAAAAGACCTTTAATGCTGTGGACACACACACACACACACACACACACACACACACACACAGCTGACATATATATATATATATATATACTCACTCACTCACTCACTCACTCAGCACACTGGGTTTCACAACCACGTTTGCCACTCACACTTCCTTTTGAGTGTGTGAGCGGATTTTCACCAGCAGGTAGAGCAATTTCCCCTTAATCTGGACCATTGCTCCACCTGGTGGTTAGAGGTTGTAATACTATTTTATCATCACTGTGTCCTACCTTTCAAGTTTTTCTGTACAAGTTGCCTTTTGGACTATTTTAAAGATTTTCATAGATCATGAAATATGAGAGGGAGAAATAATTCATCTGCCCCTTAAAAATATATGTATAATTATAGGCCCATAATTATTGGGTATTATGTTTATGAGTATGTGAATATATTGAATTTATAGTGCACTCTATGTAGTAGACTGTGACATTTCTCAATCACCAGACAAGTGAGATATATTTGGCTTCAAGTTATCATCTTATCAATCCTTTGTTCTCCCTTGATGTCATATTTAGCTAAATCATACAGGGCATGCACAATGCCACAACTGACTTAATTTTACATTGTTTACCAATTTACTTTTATTATTTAAGACATCCTTGTGTAACTTTTCCCACTCTGCCCACTTGTCATTTCCATGTGCTATATATTGTCATCATGTTTCTTTTGCAGGAGGTATTTTTTAGTGCTCTCTGTTCCTACAACAGAATGAATTTAAGACCATAAACTGAATTTATTTGTCACGTGGGCATCAGTTCCCTTCCATTGTCTGCATGTGTTTTGCTGTCGTCTGTCTGTCTTTGTGTTTCTTTGTTGTTGTCTGCTTTCTTCTATTGAGTTTGTCGGCCTTGTCTGCAGGTATGAGAGAGAAGGTGTGTGTGTGTGTGTGTGTGTGTTTAAACAACCTGTGTGTAGGTACAGTTACTAATACAGGTTTCAATGCAGTGCTGGGATCATTAATGCTCCTAACCTCCTCTAGCTGCACGACTCGCCCTCACTATGTCGACCATTCTGTTCCAAACCATTCCATCCTGGTCCAGAATGTTGTATTTCATTCTAATATTCCATTTGTTGCCCTCCATGCCATTCCATTCTGTTTTCTTGTTGTTTTTTTTTTTTTCAATCCAAACTTTCCTTTTCAATTGAACCAACTCATTTAGCAAACTGCTCCAAACCAGTCCCATTTCTGTTCAGGCCGTCCTGTTCCATCATTCACCTTTTTCTGATCCATCCTGCAGCTGCTTGGAGCAGTCTAATTATAACACTAATGTTTACTAAGTAGAGTTTTATGAATCACTAAATTTAAATGGGTTGCACTTCACAGACCAGGTCTTGCATAGAGATTAGTTGTTGCAATTTATTTATACATATTAAATGGCAGGTGTGACTTGTGTTGCTAACTGAACAGACTGACAAAGCTAATGTTAGATTGCTAATATATGACTGGTTTAGTTAATATTTTACATAAATTATATAATGTAACACAGTGTGCATAATGCTAATGACATTAGACTAAATGATCCAGTAACAATAATCAGTTGTGTCAGCATATTCAAGATACCCCCCTCTCGCTGTAAACCACATGAATACTCTGAAACATATTTCTTCATGTAGACACACAATACACTACATTTGTAAACTACATTTTCAAACAGTTTGCAGTTAACAGTTTTTTCCTTCTGTTAGAACTCGTGATGGTACCTTGACTTACTGTTCACACAAGGGATTGCTTGAAGACACTGCTTGCGTTTTATTGATGCAACCCCACTTAGTAAGTCAAAAAACTAGCCAAACTAGTTGAAACTGGTAGTTAAATGCTGAAGGGACTTGAGTAGACCTTATGAATAGGTGGTGCAACTCAATCCTTGGTCCCCTTATTAACTCATTGAACACTCATGACATCTCCTCAGTGAGGAGCTGTGATGAAGTGGCTACACAGAGTGGACTGGCATCAAGACCTGCATTGTGGGCTGTGAAGTACTCAGATGGCTGTGGACTTAAATTTGAGCCGTTGGAGTGGAAATTAAAAATTTGGCAATGGTGAACGATGTGTTTGGATTGGAACACTCAGGCAGGCATGGCGAGCAGCGCAACTGTGTTCAACCAGCTGATTTTATTTTATCTGTTTAAGAGTCCAATTGTTGCCCTTAGCCCTCAAAAAGACTAAACTTGTGTTGATTTTTCTCGAGGAGTCCGTATGAGGGAGAGGGTCGGGATGAGGGGAGCAGGTGAGATACAGAACAGCCCGAAAAACCAAAAACCCCAGACTCTACCAAACCCGCCTGCCAATCAGTAGACTGGAGCCAATCAGTAGATGATCTCTGAGCTTGTTGTGAATGGCTGGGAGAGGGGGGCCGAGCTGGGATGTAATTGGTTGGTGATGGTGATAGTGGCTTAACCAATCAGGGGACTGGAGATTAGCAGTGAATGATAGCATCCCAGAGAGTGAGAGTGCTGGTGTGGAGGTTGACCTGCATGTGTATTTATTTATAAAAAAAATTTATTTTTCAGAATCACAGTACCCAAACGTGTGTTTGTGTGTATGCAGACTTGGAATTCACACACAAAGATATAAATCCACACACATTTCGGCAACCTGAGAGATGTGCACACACACAAACACACACGGGTACTTAAGGAAAATTTGCTTTTTGTCTTCATTTCCACAACCTCATCATCTCCCTCTTCCTCTCAATCACTCCTCCATTTCTCCCTCCTTTTTTGTCTCTTACTTTTTAAATAAATCTCTCACTTCCTTTCTTTTTCTCTCTCTGCTTATCTTCTCCTGTTTCCTGTCTGTGTCCTGTCCCTCTCCCTTTCTCCTCCTCACCTGTTTCCTCATTCCTTTCATCTGTCATTTCTTCCTCTTCTTGTCTTCCTCCACCTGTCTCCACCTCCTCCTCCTCTGCCCTCCCATCCCTCACCCAGGTCCATGCTGAGCAGTACAGTGGACAAGTCAGAGAAGACGTCTGGCGGTGTTCTCTCCTCCTCTTCTAACAACGATGAGAACAACTCGTCACCAGGATCTGGTAATACTGGTATGTATTTAAAATGTTGGGATAAACCGATCAGTCACTGGTAGTATTTCGATAACACAACTTAATAATGATGTCCCCTCCACCTTACACTAAGATGACAGTTTCCCCAGTATTCTATCTCAAAACAAATCATCTTGCCGTGTTGCTACTGTGGTTTATTTAGCTTCAAGATGAGGGTCTTAATTACAGGCTCAGATGATCATAGTGCTAAAACAGTTGGCATATTTGACGATAGAAATATTTCTTGATGAACAGAACAATATGAACAAAAATCAAACAATACAACTAAATTCTTAGTATGCAGCCTGATATTTGAGGGTTAAGGTCTTTTGAGCACTTTCAGGACTGATGAGGAACCACATTGTATCCTCCATTGTAAATGTTGGGACATCACACACAGAGTCCAGGCTAGACGACACCTGACTGTGTATAAACGCAGAAAGATGTTTTAAAATGATCAAAGGCCCAACAGTAGCATAAGGATGGACAAAAAATAAAACGGGGCTAACAGACCCTTGACGTACTCTACCGTTCAGATTAGTCGATTAATCAAGGAGTCAATGCACTGAAACTAGGTGAACAAATATCTGAATACATTTACTCACTTATTAAGTAAAAATTGCCAAACATTCACTGGTTCTAGCTTCTCAAATCTGAATGTGAAAGTATGTTTCAAATGAAAATAATGACTAGCTGTGGGTTTTAGAAAGGGAGATGAGCAGCTATGAAGATGTCACCTTGGGCTCTGGGCATTTTTCAATCATTTATAATCATCATTTATATTGACTTGAACTGGTAATTGATTAACAGTGGAAAGCTATGCAACGGTCCAATTGTAGCCCAGTATTGATCAGCACAGGTGACCTGTCCTCATCAGCTTCTCGCATAATACAAAATTCAGTGTTGCTGCTTTAAGTGATTGTCATTCAGCCATAAACAGCCATCCCTATTATGTTATTTATCCCGACAAATTCTTCTCTGTAGATTTTGGTAAAAGGGTGCAACGATGCTGGATTGGTATTTGGTATTGCATCAAGTTTATCTGTTGGATTTCAGAGAAAAGGTCAGGTCGGTGCGTCCCTAGATACAGCTTGATTCAGACTGTTCTTTTTTCTGTTAGTCTCTCAAGAGTCCCCCAGCTTGGGAGGGCTGTTTAATTTAACCTGAGAGATGTATCAGTAATGAAAATGCTGATTAGAAGCAGTCCACCTTTTGTCTCATTTACAGTTTTATGTCACTGCGCCATTTATCATAAAACATCCTGGAAACCCTGAAGGGTTTTCAAGCTTCATTTCCTGATTTAGTTATACTTCATCCAACTTCGATGTCGGGTTATGGCAATCCATTCCTATTCAGACTGTTGTCTTAATGAGGTTTTATATTGGAGAATATTGTAGTTGAACCTCATTTTTTATCCTACGCTCGTCTCTCCACTCTAGTCTCATTCTTCTCGTCTCTCTCCACACTTGTTACTGTTTTCCAGTCCTTCCTTTTCTGCTTTCTTTTCCTCTCCCATCTTTGTCCTCCTCACTTGATTTTCTTCTCCATTTGTCGCGTTCACATCTGTTCGCTCTCTTTTATCTGTCCTTTCTGTAATCGTTTCTGTCTTATTTGTCACTCTCATCGTTTACCCTCTCACCACTCTTTTCCTCCTCTCCTCCCCATCCCAGGTGGCACCGGCACGCCTCCGGCCATCGGCGGCCAGAAGGACTCAGCCAAGCCACGCTCGCTTCGCTTCACCTGGTCAATGAAAACCACGTCCTCCATGGAGCCCACGGAAATGATGCGCGAGATCCGCAAGGTGCTCGACTCCAACTGCTGCGAGTACGAGCTGCGCGAGCGCTACATGCTGCTGTGCGTGTCAGGGAACCCGGCCCGTGAAGACTTCGTCCAGTGGGAGATGGAGGTGTGCAAGCTGCCGCGGCTCTCGCTCAATGGCGTGCGCTTCAAACGGATCTCGGGCACGTCCATCGCCTTCAAGAACATTGCCTCAAAGATTGCCAACGAGCTCAAACTGTGAGTGTGGAGGAGCAGCGAGGAGAGATGAGAAGGGGGCGGGGGAGTGATAGCGAGGATGATGCTGTAAGCGTGGTGGCACTGTAGAGGTCAGGAGGTAAGCTAAAGGGTGGGATCACTTTAAAAATGAACGCGATTGTTATCTGGACAAAGGTCTGAAGTAGGGCTATCGGTTCTCTGAGACTAGAAAACGTTCCTTTTCTAGTAGTTTTGTTCCTTAAGTTCCTGAGGCTCTGCGATTAGAAACTCTGAGTTGATTTCTTCTGAATTGTGAAGTACTTATAGACCGAGGTCTTCTCTCTTCCCTGCTGTTTTTTTTTTTGGTCACGTTCTACTTAGACGTTCCACTCTTCTGCATGTCCGATCTGCTCTCTCTGTTTTGTAGAAGTCACACTTTGACCACTCCTGTCACTTCTTCCTGCTATTTATTCAGTTTTTCTGCACGGTTCTGCCGCCCGGTCTTTTTGTGTAGAGGGGAACCAGGTAAAAGATGAGGGTTGGATGGATGGACAAAGAGAGCGTTCTACTTTCTCTCTAACAAGCAGTGCTGATTGACAGAATATTTGGAGCCTTATTTTGCTGGAAAAACTCGGAGTTTTGATTGAATTTGTTTCTCCTCCAAAGCTGAACGGACTCCCAACTGAGCCAGGATTTTGGTTGCTGAAGCCCACAGTCTCTCGCTCACACACACACACACACACACAAATGGACTGAACTCTGCTGTTGTTGGTTAAAGGACCCTCTCCACCCTCCACCTGCCTGACCACACTTCCCCTTCCACCCCAAAATATACATTTCCACCTGATCCATCCTTCCACCACCTCCCTCCTTCTCACACACAGACACGCACACCACCCTCTTCCTCTAATTTCAAACTGAACTCAGCACAAACACATCCATCTCTTTTTCTTTGCCTCTTCACTCCCGTTTTCTTCCTCATTTTTTTATTTCTCTCACGGCATCAAGTCAGAGCAGGCCAGTCAGACTTGATGTCGTCGTCGATTGTTCGGGCTTCAACCCTTCAAGTCCTTACTTGTATTGTTTATTTTAGTTTCTTCTTCTTTTATGGCTTTTTAAAAAGAGTTGTGCACTGGAAAAGAGAGGCATATGGGGAAACTGGGGCGGGAAGGGGCAGTTCATGGACAGGGTTGTCGATGGATTTTTATGTTGCCTTTCTTTATAGAAGTAAATTTGGGGTTTTGTTTTTGTTGCGTACGTTCAGCACATAAATGCCCAAATGGTTTAATTGTACTTATTTTGTTAATGTTGCTATCGCTTCGGTTGGCATCACGCCTTCAAATCCAGAATGTCAACCCTGAACTGACGCATTTCATTGGCCCGCGTCCCCTCTCTGCTACACCTGTTCCCAAGGAGCGCACACACAAAAAGGTGTCTCTGGCATATGTAACAAACATTATGTGTGTGTGGGTGAGAGTGTATTATGAAAGCTCACTGGAAGGAAGAAAAAAAATCAACAAGGATGACGACAAATGTTGAATTATTTTCTTCTTCTGCTTTTGATTTGGTAATATGTTTTTGTGTCATTGAAAGTTTTTGGGTTTGTGCCGATTTGGACGGTGTGTGTGAAGAAGGCTCGGATCATATCATTGCTGCCTTTTCGGTATAGTGCACCTTTAACACACACGCACATTTAGCACACCACACAGCTCATGTATTAACCCCCCCCCCCCCCCCCCCCCAAGTGCAGACAAGAGTTATCGATGTATTTAATGATGTTGATGGTGACGACTACTGCTCGTTCATCTTTGACCATTTTTTTTTTTCTCTCTCATCAGTTTGCTTTTATTTACGTTTTCTGTAATTGGTACAGAATGGCGTGAAGCAGAGAGAGAGAAAGCAGGAAACGTTTCTTCGCCGAAACGTTCTCATATCGGAGCACGTGTTCACGTTGAAAACAAACCAGAAGAAGCCACTTCCTCTCTCTCGCTTTCCCTCTTTGCGTTGATGCTCCAGTTTGTTGAAAAAGAAAAACACACACAGGGGTTAGAGAAAGGGGGGCCAGGGGCGATGCTGGGTCCCATCAGCTGGTTGCACCTAACTGAACACGTTTCTTTCTTTCTATCACAATGACACACTGTCGTTTTATTATTTTTCTTTCAGTTTTTAATACGTCAGATTTTTCTTTAAAAGTTGATCATTGTATTAAGGTGCTGGGTATTGGATTCTAATTATTCTGGCTGTTGCTGTTATATTATCTCTTTCAGGGTTGATTTTATTTTACATTATTTTGTTTTACATTGCTGTAATTTACATTGATTTTAAATGTGTTTTGAGCAAACTGTATCTGTAGTGGTGGGTTTGGGGTTGGGAGGGGGTGATCAACTCCTGAAAAATGTATTATGTTTGTTTTGTTTTTTTTTGTGCAAAGACAAAATGATGAAAAATTACAACGATAGTAATAAAAACAATGATATAATGATAGTCTGCCTCTGAAATCCATTATGTGAGAAAACAAAATGAATGTGTTAAATAATCTTGTGTTCTTCCAGGAAGCTCTCAGCAGCTCTGTAGCTGACAAAATCTCACCGAAAAGGTCCACTAAGTAGCGGTTTCTGAAGCTGTCATATCACATGATCATCCTTGGCAGACAGTTTGCCCAGTTGTCATGGAATTGCCGCCCTGCAGGTAAACGGAGAATCTCTGCTTTGCAGTGTCAGTTTACTAGACCTCCACTCTGACCAAATAAATCAAGGTCAATGTCATGACCTCAGCATGTTTAGATATGTACTGTTAAATATTTAGCTTTCTTTCAAATTATATTTAACAGAGGGACAACGGACAAAATGTATTTAATTCTTTCCAATTAAAGCTAGATCAATACATCACAGTATATTAGACTGTTACACATGTATCACTATCTGTGTTGGCAGAGTAACAAGAAATTGCAAATGTTTATGGTCATAAAAGTCAGTTTGTCCACCAGAGAGCACCAACAATTATAGTTTGACTGCAAAATATCCTGCTCAGAACCTTTCATGAGCAGTATTCTTTTAAACAAATTAAGGGATCTATATTAAAAGCATTTATGTAAAAAATAAAAAAGGTTTTGAGCTTTTAAAACTGTCGGTCAGGCTTCTTTTCTATACCCAGCACACAGTTTCGACAAGAACTTCATTTTGGAGTAGGTGCACTGCAAGTACAATATAAACAAAGTGGACTTTGGCACAGCATCCCTGTAGGAGTGTGTGCCATAGAAAACGGCTCATAATACAGGACCCACCTTGATTTTACTGAGTGGTGCAAATACAAGTCTGCAATTAATGTAATTACCAAACTTGTGATTAAACTGGAATGTTTTGTGGCCCTTAGGTCTGGGGCCACAGGTAGTCATCCGCTTTGTTGGCAATCCAGCCTTGTGAACCACCAAATCTTCATGATAAACATGTAAAAGCACAGCCGACATTAAGACAGGGTAACTGAAGTCTGAGGAGGAGTTGTTCGTATGACTAGACTGGCTTCTTCTAATCCACTCACTGGTGCACTGGTAAAGCCCAACAAAGTGTCCACAGCCCTGCTCAGGAATGTGGAAGCTGCAGGTGGCTGAACCCGTTGGGTGTCAGCAGATGGTGTTTTGATAAGATTTGACATTGGGGAACAGATGATGCGCTCATGAACACCACTTGTAGGTATAAATGAAGTTAAAGTTACAGAGTTGACTTGTTAAGTAACCGGTCTTTGTCATGAAAACACTGAACCATAGTCCTGAACTCACAGAAAACATTACTACGGTGTGTGTGTGGATGCACTGCTTTAAAATGTATGAGAAATATTGTGCTATTTGGTCATTTCTTTATTCTAAAAAAAACATTTCTCAAACACAGTTTTCCACAATGTAAACAACTTCTCACGTACAGTACACACAAGCACTTTTTGGAGGAAGGAACAAATGTAAGAAAACAAGCAAAGTCAAAAGGCAAGCAGCTTTAAAGCCAAACATAGTGATGGGCCCCTTTGGTTCCCGCCCAGTGCTGCGCTAAACTGAAGGCCTCTGAACACAGTTCAAAGAAAGGTTAGCACGCGACGAGCAATCCCAGACCTGCTTGAAAAAGGCAGCAATGCACAGGCAGCTAGACTATGAAGAGGAGGCGGATTCGGCAGGGGACGAGCAGACGATGTTCAAACAGAAATCACAATTAAGTAACAGCAACAAAATATCATTCAGTCATCTACATTTGTTCATGAGGTCGCTTGATATCACCTCAAACCCAAGACTGGAACACAAGCTAAACATTTCAGAGGCAGCGCGATGCAGCATTTTCCTGACAGTTTACAGGCTAAGTGAATCCTTTCAGATGCCCTCCGACCTCTCTCACCTCCTCCTGTGCCTGGACAGGACTCTGAATTAGCAGAGAGAAAAGCTGCCTTGACTGGACTCAGAGGGCTTAGAAGAGTTGTCACAGCATTGTGAATTTGCTTTTGTAATTATCCCAACATGCTGGCCAACAAAATACTTTACTGAATCACCTCAACCAGACTAGAGATTACAGAGAACACTCGTGTGTACTGCTAACAGCCAGCTAACTTAGCTTAGAATAAAGACTGGAAGCAGCTAACTGGCTCTGTCCGAAGGTAACAGAATCCACCTGCCAGCACCCCTAAAGATCACTAGTTGTAGCTCATGTGTGAAAACGAGAAATTGACATTTTACAAACGTCTTTGGTTAGACCTTTATGCCGGACTATTTTTTTGGTCCAAGAAACGATCCAGCAAAAAAACCAACCCGGGTTTTACATGTTTTTGTATGTTAAGTGCTAATTAGTGAGCTTTAGAGGTTCTGGTGGAGGGTGGGGGTTGTTACCCTTTGGACAAAAATAGACTTGTTTCCTTATTTCTCACCCAATTTACTCTGCATTAAAGCAAATTATCCTTTTAACACCTTTTTGTTTTACTACTTTTCCCATGTCTAACGTGTGGGGAGCAAGCCAGCAATGTCAAATGCCAGGGGGATTCTGTGGCACAATGAGCTTTTAAAGCAAGAACAGAGAGTGGAAGAGGATTTTATTTTTCAGTGTACGGTTATCTGTCAGATGTCAGGAAAGGTCAGTCGTCCCCTTCACTTTGTAAACCAGTCCTCTACACGCACACTTTACACAGAGGCTAATGTTTCGTTCAGCATTAAGACATTAAGCAGTAGGGCTTAAACGCTGAGCCAGTAAAAAAAAAAAAACTGTGGCAAATGGCTTCTTGAAAAGCAAGACAAAGTCCAGTCACGTGTTTTAAAGGCTCTTTCTCCGTAGTGCTCAGTCAATAATCATCATAATAAAGTATGCACTATCTAAACTACTTACATTAACTAACTGCCTACCTAGAGCTCACTTTAAAAGTCTAGTCAAAAAAGGGAAACATCACTCCAGTTAATAGTAATACATGGCTATGAGAGAAGAGGAGGGATCTCTCGCTCTTCTTTTTTTCAACAGCTTCAACTATTTAAAGCCTTAATGATAAACTCATAGCACGGCTCTGATTACAAAAGCCGCTTCCTTTGCAAAAAAAGTACCTTATCACGCCTCTCAAGTTTTAAAGCAAAGCTCAGCAGGAAAAGGCGAGTTTTCTTCACATAATTTCCAACAATCTGAAGGTTTTTCCTAAATCTATGTGACCTCAGGTTTGGCTCTGATGTGGGCGACTCTTCTTCTGGCTTTCTTTCGTTTGTTCATTTGATTTTCCTGAATGTTGTTCGGACGACTTGATACCTGCCCAGTGGACTCTACAGTATAGATATATGTATATATAATGTGTGTGTGTGTGTTTTCAGCCGCACTCTGCGGTAATCCAGATGTTCAGCAGTTTCCATGGAAACAAGCAGGTGGGTTTTGCTCTCTGGTCATGGCTTCCTTCAACAGCTTGACGATCCAGTGTCTTTGTTTTGGGTTTGTAGGTACTGTTTTTTTTGTAGAGTGTGTGTGTGTGTTGATGCTAATGAAAGAAGACGTGGAGGTAGGTGTTTCTTAATACAGTGAAGAGGCTTCAGGCCACTGCCTAACAAAGTAGACCTGCGGGGGTACCCACACATTTCCTGCCTCATTTTAAGAGCTGTGATGTCACCAAAGGGACCTGAGTGTATCCACTCAATCGCGTGGTCATGTGATGTGTAACGGTCCCAGAAACAAAGGCTAGGAGCGATGGCGTTACAGGGTCTGCATGCTAATTTGTGTGTGTGTGTGTGTGTGTGTGTGTTTCTATTCCTATTATGTGTGTGTGCACGCGTGTGTTTGTGTATCAGTGCGAGATGGGCTGCTCCACTTTCAGCCCGACCAGCGACGGATGCATCTGTCCTGCGGCGGAGGACGAGGAGCTGGGAGGAGACGCCCTGAGGCTGGAGCTCCCGGTGGAGGAGGACGACGAGGAGGTCACTGCAGGCCGGATGAGCGGAGGTGGAGGGTGGTTGTGGGGCGCTCGGTTCTGGAGCGGGCGCGTCTGCAGAGGAGGAGGCTGGCGGAGGAGGCTGGGGGGAGCAGAGGGAGGTGCAGGGCGCAGCAGCGGAGGAGGCTGGGAGAGGGAGGAAGGGGGCTGAGTGGAGGAGGGGGGAGTAGAACCGGCGGCGGCGTCCGAAGGAGAGTCCTCCATTTTGACCTGAGGGGAGAGCGGAGGCACATATAGAGGTGAGGAGGAGGTGGGCAAACAGTGTAGACAACAAAAGATGAAGAGGTGGTGGTGAGGTAAGAAGACAGTGGGAGAACAGTTGTGTGAGAAAGAAGAGGGAAAAGTGAATAGAGACAGATGTCATGTTGGCCTGATGATAAAGAGGGGACGCATTCAGCGTGAATCCGCAGCGGACGACATAGGGTAGAACTTAATATTACAACTACCTGCTCCTTCTGTTCAATATACTCGGAGCCGTGGTATATAAATGTCACCCATTAAATCCACCAACAAGCATTTTAAGCTCTGAGAGCCGACGCGTGGAGTCCTGTTAAAGACACAGACCGTATCTAACGCTCTCCTCCATTTCTTCCTCAGGGCCTACGCCGTGTTGGATTTTCAACATACTGTGTTATATTTGCCATACAAGGGAGCATTAAGGACACTCAGCTACTGAAACCAGCCCTCTTGTGTAGTTCTAGCATTCATCTCTCCTCCGCTACACCCATAGGTTTTATTCTTAATGGATTTTCTATCCCTTAAATTTAAGGGATATTAGGGTTTATAAAAAATACGACCATAAATGGAATTTTAACCATATAGTGATAGACACATTTTCACCACTGGACGCATTAATGAGTTCAAGATTGAGATGAGAAGGTCAACATCAGTCTCCCTCTAGGTGTTAACGCAATGGGAACAGACTGACCCGGTACGTAATCGATTTTTTTCCCGTCCAAAAACTGCGGTGCTTTGTGTCCACAGAGATCATCTGGCGGGCCGCCATCTTGGTGAGGTCGGCTGCGGTCTTAAGTTTCGTTTGTGTCACGAGGTATGAGAGCAGAGTGTAATTTGGCGGAGGCGATCTTTATCGGTCTCTTCTAGCAACCCGTAGGAGCTACACAGACATACAGGATAGGCCTGACGTAGTACAAACGAACAAAATGAGCCCACCCACAGCCTTGTAGGATGTTCTGTTCTCAAGCTGTGGGCTTGTAAAGCACGGGAGTGCTTTTGGTCATTTATATTGACTGTTTTTATCAATATTTCAATGTTTTGGAAGCTTTATGTTATTTGGAACGTGGTTGTATGGAGAGAAATAATGTTTTGAAGAAAACTACCAATAAAAGTGAACATATAAACAGTAAATATGGCCAAAACATGGACATTCGCCTGGTATATTTTTGAAAGATTGTGTAATAACTGTTGTATATCAGTTTCTTTTCATCAAATTTACAGTTACAGTAGTATTCTAGGTGTATTAGAAGATATTCAGGTGCATTATATGTATAATATATTATGTCTTAGGATGGACCATAGGATGGTTTATTGCATCAAAATAAAGCTTTTTTTACCAGGCGAGGATGAAAATATATTTTTTCTGTATTTCGTATCCATGTAGTCTGTAATGGTAAAATAAATATGTTAATCTACAATGGATTTATATTCCTTAGCTTCTGACCTTTCAAAGGAGACCAGAATTATGCGTCTAGGCCTAATGGTTGAGGAGATGTTACTGATTTATTTTGGATATGTGATTTTAGGCGTTTTTCCTAGAAATAGGTGCCAGGTAGGAGGTGGTTTTAAGTACAGAGCCGGAGTCAGCACATGCTTAGCTTAGCTCAGCATAAAGACTAAAGCCAAGCCCGTTCTCCCCTGCTTCCAAACATTTCAAAATGCACCTGCCAACATAGGGTTAAACTGTTCTGAACGAGGAATAACTAAAGGTGTTCCTTTTATCACGCGTATGCTCCGTAGCGGCTCACCTCATCCTCCTCGGCGGCTCCATCTGTAGCAGCTGCCATCTCCTCGCCGCTCCTCCTGGGGTCTCTCTGGTCGCGGCTGGTGGCCACCTGCTCAGCCGCCCACTCCCTCAGCACCTCATCCAGGTTGAAGCGGCGCCGGTAGCTCACGAAGAACGAACTCACCTGGACGGACAGGCAGAGATGGGGAGTTAGAGAATAAATCAAGAGGATAGAGAAGTCGTACTGTGTTCAAGGACACACAGACTGGAGGTCAGAAAACAAATGAAGGGATAATGGAGATTATACTTATCCTATAAGGAAAAATATAATCTAGAGGAGGGATGAAAAGCTGATAGGCAGCTCACACAAAGTAAACTACTGAAAGGATGGAGGGTAAAGGCTGAGGTCAGAATATGAGATAAGGTGATCTTCACAAGATTCTTCCTCAAGTTCAACACTTGAAAAGGACGACGCTCACCTGAGCTGGTGTCTTGGTCCCTATCACCTCAGCAATAGCTGCAAAGTCTTTACCATAGCGACGGATAGCTGGAAACGAGACAGAAGAAAAAGATCGGGTTAAAAGTTGTCTATGGATCACTCACAACCAATTCACTGCCACATCTTCAGGCCGGCCGAGTGCCTGTCCTTCACCTTTATATTACTCACATTTCAGCTTCTGCTTTCTCCTTTACAGTGTGCAATACACAGCTGCCGCTGATTGAGGCTAAATGCTTTGCTCAAAGGCACACTGATTGCAGCCCCTAAGGGCAAGTGAAGTCTTTCTGACTATAACTGAAAGCTACAGAGATTTAAACTCCCTAATTGCACCAATACAACTAATAATTCAATTAGTCAAATCCTTTGTTCCTCACAGCTTATTTATAATTCAGGATCAAGGTCTTAATAATCCTCAACTGAAGTGTCAGATCATCTAACAGCACCTGAAATTCCCTTTCCAACTCAGTGAGGTGCGTCAGACAATTTTTGTAACTTCCTGAAACAGACGATCCAACAGTTCTGCCTCATTTACATAGTGGCCGGCCAGGTGTGCTGGGGAGTGAAACAAGGCGTCTGGCGTGTGCAAAAGATGCTGTGAAGTAAGAACGCTTCTCCCCATGGGGACATCTCACTGACATAGGCTACATTCAGACTGCAGGCCTTAATGCTCAATTCCGATTTTCTTCCCCCAGATCCGATTTTTTTTTGTTTGATAGTTCAAATTATATGTTTAAATATCAGACTCCAGTGTGAACTGTCTGCGGCCTGAAAGTGACCCGCATGCGCAGAATAACACGACCTAACACGCAAGTGCTCACAACTCTGTTCTTTTCATTACGATTTCTGGCGCTGTTCAACGCAACTGCCCCACAACTCACTCCCTCCGTCTCGCTCTCCCCACTGTGTCCGCTCGGACAGATAGCATGCACATACCTCAGAAGAGAGATCATGGTCCGGTAGATTTCAGGTGTAAGAAAGGGAATTTGTGAGCAGATGATAGCGAGGCAGAGGAGGAAGAGAGCCACATACATAATTATGGCTTTTTGAGGAGCTGAACAGCTGCTCTAGAGTGACGTCAAAGTCGCATCAATTCTAACCAGTGTGTCCAGAGTGAGGTCGCATTTAAAAAGATCCGTGTCCCAATTCCAAACTGGAAAAGATCAGATTACATGTGACTTGGCCTGTTCACACTGTCATAGAAAGATCATATCTGAGTCACATATGGGCAAAGAAAATGGAGATGTGGGTCACATTGGCCTGCAGTCATAGCCATAATGCATCCCCCTAGTCCCTTTCCCTAACAACAACAATCACTACAGGCAGTAGTGAAGGGTTAACTTAAAAATGTAAATGTGCCTCATGAGTACCAATGTAGGCCGTTTCTGTGTGAGGAAAATATGAATGTGTCTAAGAGTCCGATTTCTCCCTGTGAATGTGAGGAAGGAAGATGAGAGCCGGCACCACGAGGTGACTCTGTAGGAGGGAAGGAAGATGATGCTTGAGCCTTTACTCACCCTGTACAGCCAGGAGCTGCTCCTCTGTGGTCCAACGAGAGTTCATCTTAGAGACAGGCTGAGAGAGACGGAGGGAGAGGGAGAGGTTAGAGAGAGGTGGTAAGAAAGAAGAGAAGAGAGGGGTGAAAATGACAGCATGAGAACAAAGAGCAGATTAGGACTGTTGTCAGTCCTGAAATAATATCTGGGAGGGCGGCAAGAGCAGAGTGAATAAATGAAAGAGGAGAGGGACAAACTGAAGAGCTAAGGAAAAGTCAGGAAACAAAAAATCAAATAGGGGATAGATGGATGATGCAACAGAGGGGAAATGTAGAAAGAAAGGAGTGAAAAAACTAAGACTTACCTCAGCAGGTCTGAAAGTGTCAACACCTTCATTTAAGCTCTGTTTCAAACTACTGTTGTTCTGTTTAATAGACTGAACCTGAGAGAAAAAGGTGTCGGGGAAGAAAGAGGGGAAGAGTATGAGTGAACAGTAATAGCGTACTGTATAGCACAGAATCACTCTTCTAATAATATCGTTCCCAACGGTTCATTATATTGGTCGCATAAAAATGATAGTTCCTTAATATACTGTTACACCATAAACAGGGTTTCTGCAGGTTTCACCTGGTCAAATTTAAGACTTAAGACCTTTTTAAGACCACTATGAATGAAATTAATGACCTATATCACGACATCAAAAAAAAGAAACGCAAAGGAAATGCAGAAGGGAATGCATTAGGGTTGAGTGATATCTACAAAATTGGCATTGGACGATAACGTTGATAAGCTACGTAAGAAACCAGCTGGCATGTAAAAAAGGATCATAGGTGGAAAAATCCAGAAAAAAAAAAAGACGAGTTCTGTGTTTTTCGGCAACTTTATAAAACACAACCTACTGCTGATGGAGAAACTCAGGGAAGCAGACAGGAAGAGAGAGAGACAGAGAGGGGCGGGGAAAGCCGGTGTGTTTGAAGTAAGAGACCAGAGGTTAAGTTGAGAGTGTGAGCGAGTGCAGGGAGAAGAGAAGACGAGGCAGGTGCAAAGCAGGTCCATTTACAAATAATAAAAATAATGTCCATGGGGATTAAAACATGCTTTCACAGGGTGGTATAATGTAAAAAATGAAGGTTCGTGTTTTCCAATAAAGAAATATGCAATTCCACATAATTTTGGAAAGTAAAGTAGGAAAATCTAGAGCAGATATTGAATAAACTACACCAAGCTAAACTTGCTAAATAAGTCTACTGGGTTTGAATTATAATCATTAGATCAGGGAAAATTCATGTGATAAGTTTTGATGCTCTCCACAATGATTTTACATTCATGGCGCAGCACCCAGCAGTTTTGAGCCTCACCACCTTATAAAAAGGCAGGAAAACACTCTTAACATGACCTCAGAATCATTACAGATACAACATTTGCCTTTTCTGTCTTAGTTTACTGCTTTATACATTTGTAGAAAAATTAACATAAAAATAGTCAATATGAGAACCACCTCCCTTCTTTATAATTACAAGCATTTCATTTGTACATTAAAATCCAAAAGAATAATCTACTCATTATCTTAGTTTGCATCCCTAATCTGCTTTAACATTACTGACCTCGGCTCCTCCGTAGTCAACACCGTCCTTTCTTTTTAATTTAACAAAGATGTACAGTACAGGACCGAGCTGTGACCTGACAACTTAATACTGATCTTATCCTCTGCTAACTCTGACCCTCACTTTCTGCCGCTCTCTCTCACATTCACTCATCCTTTGAAGAATGAGGAGGGAGACAGCCAGTGTTACCTTAACTTACTGAAAATCATTAATGATCGCGTGAAATTTTAGTAGAAGCCCTCATTCATTAAGTTCGACAGTAGGCTTCAAATACATTGCTAGTGACTGGTTTGAACCAAGACTTAAGCTCTGTTTCTATGGGTTGCACTTTTATATCTGTGGATGAGAGGCAGCGTTACATGGACGTTGGGAAATTAAGACCTGTTCAAAATGATTTAAGACCTAGAACACAAATTTCAGCGAATTTAAGACTTTTAAGGCCTTAAATTTTGAAAGTTAAGACTTTTTAAGACCCCGCGGCAACCCTGATAAAGCTCTGGAGTGGGTGTTAAATATGCCAGATAAATAGCTATACACACACACACATTCTGTTGGTGTTCCTTAAAACTCCCACTAGAAGGACATTTAGTGCTTTTACACCTTCAGTTCATAAATCAGATGACCACAGATTCAATGCAAGGCCAGATTAAAATACATACGAAAGGTAAATACCTGTCTCTTGAGTGACACCAACTGCGTGTCCAGCTGTCGTACAGTTAGCACACCGGCGTCGTGGGAGGCCGACAGGGACGTGATGTCTCCCTGCTCCAGGTACATGCCTTTGGGTGGCCTGCGGCGTGCTCTGAGCGGGTGGTGGCGGTACTGAGCCCCGATACTTTCCTTCTTCACTGGCCCAGAGCGGCTGGGGGTCGCCTTGTCAGAGCTGGCGTTGTTGGGGTTCTGTTTCACTGCCTGTGTGGACGGAGAAACCAGGTTCTATCCTTTTTACAAGAACAGCAATTCAAGAGTGCCGCGATACATTTATGTTTAAAAAGTGGAAATTGAAGAATACAGAAGGCATTGATTTAGCTGATCTCCTCAGGTAAGTCATGACTAATAAAACACAAAGATTTGTTTATATAACCACACACGCACGTTACTGTGTTGCTCACCTCTTTCTTGGTGTCAATCTCAAAGTCACTGTCACTGCCTGGGTCACCTTCCTCCAGATCATCATTACTACAAGAAAAAGAAAACGTAACTATTTGTCCACAGCCAATATTCTCTTTCTAAAACGCTCGAAAATGTCAACTAAAAATTACAAGAAATAATATCAAAGCATCTCATACATATTCACGAGACTCTTGTTTCCCAGGATGACATCCTTATCAAAAGGATTTTTGTAAATGTCACATCTCAGATGAGTTGTTTCTGACAACTTAAATATTTCCGTTCTTTCTTCCCTCTGTCCATCCCTCCCCCTTCAGACCCAGTTTTGACAGGTTAAAGTTTCATGGTGTCTCATACCTGTCATCTTTCTCTCTTTTGTTGACCAGCCTCCTGGCCTGACGGTCCATGACCGAGGTCCTGGTCCTGGTCTTCTTCCAGCTGTAGTAATACTTCACCAGGCTGGAGATCAGCTTATCTGGAAGCTACACACAAACACAGAAATATTGAAAGTTGCACTCACTCCTGTCCTGAATATTCTGAGTGCGTGTTATTTTGGTCTCTCACCATCTGCTGGATGCGGTGGAAGCTCTTGCCATGGAAGCTGAAAGCCTGCTCGAACAGCACTTTATCCTCCACTGTCCACTCGTCTGGGAACGGGGTGAAGTTGGCTAGGTCGGCGAGTGAGCGCTCCACGTCGTGCTTGTGCCATAGCAACATGCCCAGAGCCTGACAGGTCAGAGGGGACGAACACCGGGTCAGGCAACCAGGGACAAGTCAGGAGAGAGGGGGGCACAAACAAGTGGTAAAAAGACATTTCATGTTGCGCTGCTGTACCTGCTCCATGTTGTATCCATGTTTCTCTTTCGCCATCAGGATGTACTCGTCCACTTGGGTACGAAGAGAGAAACAAACGGGTTCAAAAGAAGAGAAAAGGAACCGACATTAATGAAAAGGAGAAAGAAAGATGAGGAAAAAGAAATGTAGAGACGTGAGGGAAGGAGATGAAGACACAGAGTAAGAGAAAACGAGTGCACAGGAAGAAAAGGAGAGAATGAAAGTTTTAATTGCTGTACTCCAGTCCGCATGTAGCCTTTAAACTGAAGGTCACTCTGTCAAGCTTGTACAAGTGAATGTCAGGTGAGGTAGGCAGGTGTGAGTGTGGAGCTTACACATTGCATCAGAAAGGTGACTGTTGGGACACCAGACCAGCATGCTCCTCTGGTCCTTCTCATTGTAGCGGGTTGGACTGTCTGGTAACAAGAACAAACAGGAACATATATTTAAATCCCTCTTTTACTTTTTCACACCATCTCGTGTGCCTCCTCTCGTCCCTCGTCTGCCTCCACCACTAATCTTCAACACCCAATCTCTCTCCCCCCGATTGTTTACTTATCAAACCTCAAATTAACTTTTACTGTCTTCCTCTCGCTCTCTCCTTTGCGTGTTCCAAACTCCATCTTTGGCTTCCTGTTCATGAACAGGAAAAACGAGGAAGAGACAGTGGCACGTCGGTCGGTGGACTCTATTGGGATTCAACACTTGTGCACTGATGTTAAAGGAGAGGCTGGTTTGCCTGCTTGTCCCTTCCTCTGGTGCCATCTGATGTTTGTGCAACAAATTCATTTATGGTCACTGTTTCACTAGTGTTCAGCCACTTTACAGGTACTACAGTATTGCTCACGCAAGGTATCAGGGTGTTCACTGAGCAGTTACAGAACTTTTTTTTCCCCATTCCTCATGAATAAAGGCCCATTTATACTTGTGCGTAGGTGTGTCCGTCATTCTGCAATTACACTCCCAAACGCTAGTTGGCAGCAGCGCTACAGCGTCCACTGTGTTGACCTTTGCCGGCCTAGCAGACTAACTTACAGTTTATCGCTCCGCTAACATAAATGGGGGTATAATTGTAAACGTGCGGCTGGTGTAGCCTTTTCAAATGTTACCGACCGAATGGATCACATTCTGATAGCGAAACGAGTCATTTCGCTCGGGTTGCGACGGTCAAATATATTGATTCACTGTGTTACAGCAGTCGTTTTGGCCGCTAGTAAATGTTACTTCAAAGCGCGGAGTACTTCCGGTCGGCTCGGAGGCATCGCGAGGCTACCCAGCCGACCGGTCACAGAGCTTTTGGTCCGCGTCGACTCGACGTGTAGTTACATTTTGGAGGAGGTGCACATCAGGCGACGCCGCAGCCCCGTAACCTACGCTGTCACCTACGCCCTCGATTTGACGCAGAAGTATAAATTGCACTTAACGGAGCAAAAAAACACAAAACTCACGGATTGGATCGTACCGTGGTTTAGGGGTGGGCAATATGGCAAAATGATCACGATTTATTTCATGTTTTTAAGACTTTTGTTTTTAAGTTATTGGTCTAAAAGAGAAAAACAACACTACTTTATTAGTCACATACAATGTTGACTAATGATTCATTCAAACAACAATTCAACATCGATTCACTTTGTTCTTATAAGATTTTAAAATACATTTTTTGATTTGATGTTCCTATTAATGTGCTGTTTGGTTCTGCATAAAAACACAAAGACAGGGAGGGACTTGTTGCAGATATTGACTGGCGTTTACAGTAGCCAATAGTCTGAATGGACGTTACGCCCCCTCCCCGTCATGCAGGCTTTGTGCTGACTGATTAGCTTAGCACTCAGTGAGTGAACACTGCGGCCGGCCGGGACCGAACACAGCCTCAGAGATGGACACAGTCTGACGACAGGAAATACAGGGCCGAGGCGGTTTTCTTGTCGGGTTTGGCTCTTGGCACGCTGGGGCTGACTCAGCTGATAGGACAGCTAGCAGCACAGCTAACCGAGCTAACTAGCTATAGATACAGACAGATACTGTTTACTTTGCAGATTAGCAAAAAGTAAATGTGTCACTAGTGATACTAATTATTTAACACGTTTTCTAACTTTTAAGACTTTAAGGTCTTTCAATATGCCACACATACGTTATCACCATAGGATGAATGACTCGGGGTTTTGTGTCTTGTTTCCCCACAATAAACTGTTTAAATGATGATTTAGTATTTAAACAGGTATGGTAAAACATCTGGAAGAAAACTGTAAATTAATTATTTTTGTTTACATACAACTGGTGGAAGAGACATTATATAGACATTATGTTCTGTTCCCTTCTGTCCATTTTGCTCAATTTCCACATTAACACTGGTCATTTGACCTTCATTTCTCTCATCTCCCTCCATTTCAATGTCCTCCACATTTCTCCTCGCCTCTACATCTCCTTCTCAGCCCTGATTTCCTCCCTCCTTTTTATTCCCCTCTGTCATCTCCCTTTCTCTCAAGCTTTTTTCTTTCTTCCAACTTACCTGGTTTGAACTCTGGGATCTGAGCCTGGTAGTCTCCTCCCACTCTGATCATGCTGTCTGTAGAGAGAAAGAGACAGAGAGAGCCACACAAGACGAATATGAGCTTTTATTTCCCAGAAGGATGGGTAGAGCTGTAGAGATACAGAGGATGGGGGACAAGTATTCATGTAAATTTTAAAGTTGCAGAGCTGGGTAGACCGGATCATAAGAAGACAGATAACAGAAAAGACGTAAGGAGAGTCATCAATATTCATGGCACAGTAAATAACAGTGATCATGATCTTCTATTTCATACATGCCCTGCCCTCTAACAGGCTTTACTATTGTTTTATCCTGTCAAGGATCAAATAAACCGTTAAGAGGGCAGAGCACGTCCTATTACAACTAGAGTAACAACCAGGTAAATTCTTTGTTATTTCTTTCAATGACAACATGCTGCATCAGCTTAATCATTTTCCAGTAATAGTAATATTTTGTACCTATTAACTGATACTTATTGTTGACTAAATATCTGATACAGAAATAACAGCTGCTGTACCCTACCGATCTCAAATTTTTTCACGAGCTACTTGATCCATCCTGGTTCAAAAATACTACGTCTATTTTACATTTTTTGGCTAAGTACAGTGACGCTAAGTACAGACGCTGGCTTGCACAGAGCTCTTTCACCCAACAACAGAAGTTTTATTTTGGCCCGTTACCACGTTAATCACAGAATTAACATTAATAAGCAACAGTGGATATGACCTGCTGCCGCCACTGCACCGGCTAAAACAAGAAGCTACTACCTAAATGTTTAGACACTGAGCTTTGCTAACGATAATTAGCATCATACTTCAGCGAATCTGTGTCTCTATCACCAGAGCGCCCAAATAATTTAATAAAATAATAATTTTTCAAACACACTAATTTTCTCTCTCATATGCAATGAAATGCTGCACTAGTAAAGGAGAGCAGAACTGCACGCAGAGGTGGACATGATATACTAGAATAAAGTAAAGAAAGGATAAGATTTTGATCAGCTTTATTATAGCTGACACTGATCTTTTAAAATGTACTGCTGAATCCAATCCTTAGTCTAATTTTCTTCTCATACATCCGAACTTGATTGTGACTAATCTGAGCTGTTTGTCTCTACTATCCATCCCCACAGCCACAGCCACCTCACGGTGGCGGTTTACACAATCCAATCAATTATATGTATAAATGTGTAAAGTACTGCCACATCAAGCTAAATTAGCCTAATATTTTATTGTATAAAATGTGATAATTAAAGGTAGAGGCACTCTTTATTTCAGTCGAGGCGGGGCACCTCCATTATTAAATGCAGTGGGAAACCCAGGGGATATGTAATTAGTTTGCAAGAGTGAAAACATTCCTGTCCTGAAGTTTGAGAGGAAAACACAGGGAGACTGCTTTTAATCAACTATTTAAATTATAGTGGTTCTAATAGTTTAAAAAGACTAGGAACTGCTGATTGCTTCGATCTTCACTCTATTTACTTAATTGTTTTTAATCACAGCATATAACTTGTCTCTTTTTCCAAAAGAACAATAGCATATATTGTGATAAATACCGTGATAACTTTTCCAACATATCGCTCATCACCAAGTGACAAGATATACAGACAGGGGGGGGGGGGGGGGGGGGGGGTGTAGTAAGGAAAAGTGTGAGCGGATGGCAGACAGAGTAATTAGTGCTGTGGCAAAGAGCGTGGACGGCGGAGAGTGACGAGAGACGATGAGAGAGTCAGAAGAGCCGACCAGGAGGAGGAAGAGACAGATTAGTTTCCTCAGGGACAGAGGACAGGAAGGGAGGAGACAGTGGGTGTGGGTGTGTGTGTGGGGGGGGGGTAAGCAATGTGTGGAGAGAGGCAGGAAGGGGTTGAGTAACGGAGAAATTATATTGGGTGGAAGAAAAAGAATGAGCATTAAAAGAGGGGATTGATGAAAAAGACAGAGGTGACTGACAGGCTAAAAGGGGATGGAGGAGTTGGAGGCCAGGATGAAATAATGATAGGAACGGTGGCTCGTGATGCTAAGTCTCAGACCTTAATCATCTAGGGAAATCTGGGTGCTGAAGTGGCTTTTGAACATTAAGTTAAACTGTCGTGTTTGATCTATAATATTATCTTTAGTCTGTGTGCCGAGTGAGATAACTGTTAAAAAAAATGAAAAGATCAACAGCAAGTCGGTGGGTGAAGGACAGAATGGAGGAAGCGAAGATTTATGTGGGCAGAGGAAAACAAGGAGTGTGGGAAGGGGGTGGAGGAGAGAAGGAGGGGACGACAGAAGCACTGCAGCAATGCAATGAATGCAACTTGAACAGCTGGGATGACGTCTCGATGGAAGTGTGTCGACTGTAGGTACACACGCTTCATGACAGAAACCAGGCATCAAGCCGCAAAATAGCCAGAGAAATCAGATGAAGTCAGATTATACAGTTTAGTGTGTGTGTGTCTCTCTACCATGAGCATGCTCTTCATCGCTGCTCTCTTCTTCAGAGTGCGGCTGGCTGTTGCCGTTGGTTACGGTCTTGGCTCTGCTCCTGGACAGGACCCCGGCCCCCGAGCGCTCCATCACGGAGGGCATGTCTGTAACCAACAAACAGACCCTAAAAATACAATCCCCTTCACGTACACAAAATACAGTTTCTGTCTTAAGATTCAATCTGCCAGTTGCATGCGATATGTTTTGACTTGAGACAAGGCAGGCCTGGGTAATGAAACAATACTGATAACTATTGCGATTTAATTTTCCTCAATAACGATATAGCAAAAGTTTAATAAATGTTTGATTTAATTCATTTGAATTACGCACAAAGTAGCACTTTTTCTATTTAGATATTTATTTTGTTGAGGAAAAGAGACTGAAAAAAGATTTTATTGATGCAGAATTGTTGAAAATCATAATTGTTATCAATGTTCTACCTCAGATTTATGAAGTGATCCACTGTTTGGCATCAAGTGTTTGTTCTGACCATAAAGAAAAGTTTAAAACCAAAAGTAACCCGATAATTAACGTTATCGAATGAGATGTAATTTTTTATCGTGATAACATTTTTTGCTGTATCGGCCAGCCCAACTTGAGACCCTATAAAATCTCATTCACTATAATGCTGCTACACTCGAAGCACTCCTGACATGTTCCCTTGAGCCCAGCTGATTTTCCAAACACTGGCTTCCAGCATGAGAACTCATTAACACTCGCCATCTCTCAGTTATCTCTCGCCGAACCCCATTGTCACTCAGTAGCTCTCAGCGTCACCTTACATCTTACTATTTCTCTAATCAAAATGACCTTGCACCGTTTTCAGTACAGTAGGGCATAGCGCGATTAAGATGCCGTGACATAGCCTCTATTTGTTGGCTAACAACACCCCTTTTACTAATTGCGGGATTTAAGCTCAAGTTTAAGATCCGATCTTCTTCTGCTCAAGTATTGACCTCAAGAGCACCTCCACACACGAGGCGCTTCTTCATCCTGTTCATCACAGGACCCGGGCTGATTAACTCAAGTCTTCCTCTGTTACTCCAGCTAATAAAGAGCATGCTCCTGTCATGGGGGCACCACCCACAAACACAACAGATGGCTACTAATACGATTCTGATACCTCAACTCAGGGTATCTGCTGATGCAGTGTGTGAGCCGATGCCATACCAATACTCTCTTTTCCCCACATTTTAAATCTGTATACCTCAGAGTGGTTTATTATTATGTAAGGTAACAGGATGTCAGGGATTGCTGTGGCACTAAAAGCTGAGTTGGCAGCCTGCCATGACTGAATGAATATAATGGACATCAGAAACAATGAATTTTACAGTGGCGCTGATGAAGAAACTTTATTTATCAGTCACATTATGGCCTATATCCCATCCACATAAAGTCAGTAAAATGGCTGAAAGTCAATCAGTGATATCGATCCAGCAGACTGGCCAGGCACATCATTAACTGATTTATTATTAGTCGTTTTTTTAAGCAAAAGTGTCAAATATTTCCTTGTTTCAGCTTTGAATATAGATATATAAAGAATATATACTGAATATCTTTAGGTTTTACAGATTTTATGAAGATGTCTCAAGGAAACCGGGCTGGCTATTAATCGACTTAACATAATATACATAAACAGCAGATTAATAAATAATGAAAATATAACAAAACATTATTCATATCCATTCAGAGTATTACTTTTAGCAGCAGTGCAAAGCAATTCAAAGTAGCAGGCGTTAGCAAATAGATTGCTTAGTTGACTGACAGAGAAGAATACACAACAAATCTTATTATAGATTAATCATAATCATATCACTCTTTAGTTTCAGCCTCAAATATGAATATTTGCTTTTCTTTTATGATAGTACAGGGAATGATATTTCCGTTTTTGACTATTGGTTGGGCCCAACAAGCTGTCTAAATACTATGTTAACTTGGGCTTCTGACATTTTGTAGACCAAATCATTAATCGAGAAAATAATCATGAGATTAATAAATAAGGAAATGATCATTAGTTGCAGCCCTCCACATTTTAGTGAATGTGAAAAAGACATAAAAGGGATGTGGATATTTTATATCTGTCTATTCAACTGCAACAATAAGGATGTTCAGTCTGCAATATAAACATCAATGCATCAGCACAGCTTACCAGTGCCACAACGTGGATAAAAAAATAAATAATAAAAATAACGTGCCATGGATAACATGAGGGCCCTCCTGCAAGAAGGGGGGGCTCTCATTTTAAGTGTCATCCACAGTCTGCGCTATATTATTACTTGACCAAGCCTCGTTTTCTTCCTCTGTCTCCCAGGCGGGTCAGCGATTCGCACAGTAACACAAAGACTAGACAGTCAGCTCAGGACACGGCTTCACACAGCAGAAAGTTACCCAGCAAAACGCCCTTATCGTGCACAAACGACAGGTGACCACAAACAAAGAAGACAGCTATCACTCGCACAGATCGGAGTAAAAACACCAATTAAGTGCGCCAAGTCGTAAAGGCTCACACTTGTTCGCACTCACCATCACAGCAGCAACTTCATCTCCAGTTTCCGAAACGCCCGGCCGCGGAGTTACACGACAGAAGGGCGACATGAACTTACTTCACCCAGTCTCCTGATTAAACGTGATCAGATATGCTCGTGGAGAGGGACCAAGGGGGCGATCTTTACAACCCGCGAGGTTAAATCACATCTACCAAACTCCGGTAGACAATACAAGTGTCTGAGGCTCTCTGGGGGTCTTTGTCTATCGCGGCTCCCGGTGGCCCCCCCAACAGCTGCCCCCCTCTCTAACTTCACTGGAAACTCACGCCATCCAAACCTACACACATCTCGGTTTACGTGAGCACATCTCGATGTACTCACGTTTGCGCAATCGCTGAAGCTACTAAAGGAGAAGAAGACGTGTAATCCTCAGAGAGCTGTGATGTGAGCCTCGCACACCGCTACGGTAGCCTCGGATCTCCATCTGATTCATCCACTGTTAAGAGCAATAAGAGTTAAACTATAATACTATAACACATAACTGCTAACCCGACTGGGAAGGGTCTAGTTTCAGTAACACGTATCTCTCAAACACTCGCTTTGTGCTTCATTTTCACGACCTCTCACCACCACATGTAACTTTTCTGCACCTTAACTTTAGTTAAATTTAGATATCTGATATGATCACCATGCAGCACTGAACCAATCCATACTACATACTGATAAACCTGGTTCAGGCTGATGTCTAAAAAAAAAAAATAACTTGTATCTTCTATATCTTCGAAATGTGTAGTCTGAGTCAACTCTCCTCTCTTATGCATCATGGTTTTACTCATTCTGATACATAACGTTGGCAGTAGTAGTCTTCCTGAAGTGACTGATAATGTGCTCATGGATCTTAGGACTAAGTTTAGCGAGTCCTTATAGTGGCTTTTTGTATTTGGTAAAGGTAACGTTAACACTATAACATTAGTACGGGGACTCCCTTTTTATATCCGCCAAAGCTTTGTTTTCTGCATATTAGTTAATTATTAATTAACATTAAACCTCTGCAAAAATGAAGAGCTGGCACCCGGTGCTTTACCTGACCTACATTTGCTCGCTTAATCAATATCTTCACAGCTTTCCTCAGCAGTCATCTGTGTTGTGTGTGTCAGACTTTGAAGTCCTTTTGTTTTCCCCACGCGTACGTTGCTGTTACTATTACTAACGCGGAGTAAAAAAAACTCGCTCTCTGGATGATCAAAACTCAAGTTGGTGGTCTCTTTCAGGCTCTTGTCGCTGCAAACAGTAGCCCCTTGAACGGTCCAAGTAATTTAAGGAGGCTGAACCATGAAATAAAATAAAGAAACAGGCGACATTCCCCCCCTCACCAAAGTGCAACCTGGAGTCAAACCCAGTTGGTCGTTGGGATGCTAACCTTAGCCAGTTAGCTTGCGGCTAGTACCGTCGCGTTACATTAGTAACGTGACTAGTTGGAAGTCGAGATAACAGTCACACTGTACCTGTGTTTCGTTCCTCTCCGCCTGCCCGCACTCAAAACTTATCTGCGTCTCTTTCCGGCTGTTTATAATCCCTTTCGAAGCGCTCAAAGACTACTATTGCATCTAAAACGGCTTAATTCTCGCCTAATTGATGAGCACCGTCAGTACAATGAAGTGAACTGCTCGGGTAGATGGTAGCAGCCGGGGAGACGGACAACACCCGGGGAGAAGTGAGGTGGACATCCGCCCCGATGCGTTCGCCTCTCCCAACCAACCAGCCGTTTGGATTGACGAAAAGTAGTCCTGTTAAACTACTAAGTGCAGTATACTCTTGATTTTGGATTTATGCTGCAAAACATGTAATTTGACACGCGAGAGTGATTTATTTCGCATCAGATGGTCGTGCTGAAAGGCTTTTGGGGAAAAATACGCTTTTAAAACTGCCTACGTGCTAATTCACACTATGATTATTATCCACAGATAGTCTCGTTTAAACTGAAGGCGAAAGGAGGCGCAGTTATATTTGTAGAAATAGTGGGCCTAGCTTTTATACAGTCATGATCGGCCATCTATCAACATCCCATAAATTAGGGACTACTTTCCAGTGTGTCTGCGGAGGGATTCGTCAACTGTGCATCTCTGTGCTGAGGCAGTCTGTCCAGACTTGTACTGATGTATGCATGGTGGAGAAAAGGGCAGGAGAGTGGGGTACAATTGAACCTAGTGTGTGTGTGTCAGTGTTAGAGTGTGTGTGCGTGAGTACGTGAGAGAGTGAACGTGTCCTCAAGATCTCAAGGTCTCAGATACATATCCTCACTGTTACTTTGCTGATTTATTTATTTATTTACTTAAAATGTCGAGCACTTGAAAGAGTTCTGCCTTGTGCCTGTGTGTGCATGTGCATCAGTCTGTGTGAGTGCACAGGTGGATGAGTGTGTGTGCGCGTGTGTGTGTGTGTGAGTAGAATAGTGAGTGTTTCAGTGATAGCTGTAGCAGGATTCCTCACACCTGATGCTGGCAATAAACACAATAGACCCCACAATAACAGGCACACACAGAACCTGCTGCTGACATGTAACAGCCTGTTACACACGCCTCCAGCTTTCTCTCTCTCTCTTCACTTTCTTTGGCATCACCACCTCCTCCTCTTTTCTCCCCACCTCCTCTTCATCATCCCCGTTCGCTCATCTGTCTCCTATTTGATTTCTCTTGTTTGTCACCCACCCCCTTTTCTCTCCACAGTCCTGCTTCCTGCTTCTGTCTGTACCTCCTCTATTTCTCTGCTCCCTCTTCTTTTTTTAATCTCCCTCTATTTGCTCCTCTCTCTTCTCCTTCTCCAGTACTTTCTCCCTCTTCCTTCCACCTCCTGAATATCTGCCCTAATTCTCCTCTTCCTCCCCTTCTGTCCTCCCTGTTCTCACTGTCTGTGCCCCCTTCTGGATTTTGTTTTTGTTTCTCCTCCTTCTTCCTCCTCTCTCTTTTTTCTCCCCCCTGCCTTCATCCTTTTTCCGCCATCCAATTTCCTTTGCCTCCCCCGCTTTCCTCCCCTCCTTAATATTTCTCCACTTCCCTCCTCTGCTCTTCCACACCCCCCTCACTTTTTCTCTCTACTGATGGCTCCTCTCCTCTGCCTTTCCTGCCTCACCCCTCCTCCCCCTCTTCTTCCTTCCTCTTTCTCTCTCTCTCTGGCTACTTATCCGTCTCCCTCTCTTGCCATCTTCCTCTCATGTCGGTTTCATTTTCAACAGTGTGTGTGTGTGTGTGTGTGTGTGTGTGCAAAGTGTGCGTACGTGCAAATTCTTCCCTTCCCCTCCCCCCATCCTCCCCCTACGGTGACACAGTAAAGCAGTTTCGCTTCGCTCACCTCCAGCCCCCTCCTTTCCTATCCTCTTCCTCCCCCTTCCTCTTCCTCCCTCTCCAGTCCCATTTTCACCCCTAACACCCCCTCCCCTCCTCTCCTCCCCTCTCCCCTTGCTTCCTTCTCTCCTCTCATTAGTCAGTGTCCATGAAACTCACCATTCCACTGTCTCTCCTCGTGCTCAGTTCTCCAGTCCCTAACACATCCTCACTAATGAACAACTGCTACATCTCTTCCCTCCCTCCCTCCCTCCCTTCACCTCCCAGCTCTCTTTTCATCCTCCTCCTCTTCTTCCCTCTGTCCTCCTCTCCCTTCATCACTCCGTCTCTCTCTCTCTCTCCCTTCCCTCCTCTTCTCGCTCGGTTTCTCTTCGATCTTTCAGAAGAGTGTCCCTCCCACTCTCCCTTTAGCTCACTCTTTTTTCCACTTCTTTCCTCCCCCCTACCTCCCCTCCTCCTCCCCCCTCTCCCTACCTGTCTCATTCCTTCCTCTTGCCTGTCTATCTGTCAGCTCTTCTCACTTTTGTCGAGGTAAATGTGTCCCTCCTTCCCCTACACCTCACTCTGACTCCCATCCCTCTCTATGAATCCTCTGACTTTCCCTGTTATCTCAGGAGATTGACGGTGTAGAATCAGATGTGATAGAATGAACTCTGTATTTATCAAGTCGTTTCTGTCATATAGGAGGACCATCATGTGTCTGAATGTCCAGCACAGTCCTCATCTAGAGATGTTATGCTTTCTGCCATGCTAAATCATTATTACATGATTTTTATGCACTGATTTCCAAGACATTGTCACTATGTTGCACTGGCACACCATATAACTCACAATAATCTGACACAAGCTTTGTGTCAGATTTTTGAGTGTGCTGTTTATGCACACTATTTTCCCACAATGCATTGCACAAAGAAAATGGAGGAGCTGCTCATAGCTGAAAAAACAAAACAAATGTGGATGGTGGTGAAAACAGCTTTTTGAACAAAACAAACAGACAACAAGAAATCTTTTGCTGTCCTTTTGGAATGTTTAATTTGTTGTAATGTTCCAGTTTGATTGACTGCCACAAGTATTGTATCATTTGCTCTTAGTATAACAAAGGTTGTTGCTTTTTGTGTAATGCAGAAACAGCCCGTTAGAGACTGTTAGTATAGTGTAATCTAAAGGATCTCTGGTGCCACAAGTAGGCTGCAGTGTTTAATATAACCCACAACCTAAGTGTTGGAAAGAACTGTGTATTTTTGGAGAACCTAAATAATATTGGAACTAAACTGTAAAATAATGCTAAAGAAAAGCTAGGCATATAGGTTTTCCCCCTAGGAGCATGAATGTATTTAGCAAATTCCATCTGCCAGTTAGAGAGAGGGAGTTATGAGATATTAAGTTTAAATACAAGACAATCCAGCCTTTAGTTTTCAAGATACAGTGTCTTGCAAAGTGTTGACATTTTGACCTGAAGGTAGAGCTATTACAAGGTCAGTGGGTAACTAAAATCAGAAGGGATCATACTTTAGGGGTCATACTGTAATATACAGAGCAAATGTAATGCCAATGTGCCAAGTAGTTTTTCAAATACTATTCAGTGTCACTGTTATGAAAATACCAGAAGTGTGTTGTTACTAGAGAGGGAAAGCCTGTGATACAACATATATAGTAGATTATCAAATGAGGCTAAAAAGTCTCCACTGAAATCTTAAATTTAGGTCTTTTAGTGGAGTTGATGGTTGACTCATGATGCTTCACCATCAGATGTGAAAGCTGTGAGGCCTTCCACCATAGTTTGAAAACAATCCGTTTTATAAATCACTTCCACTTATTGCACAGATAAGGAAGTACCACAACAGATACCAGACATTTTCAGGCCGTAGACATTGACCCACTGTACAACCATCTCGTCTCAGTAGAATGACAAAGTAGGGTGGCTGTCCAGTCTATGTGTTGTAACTCTGTGTTGCAGGGCTCGCTGTGCTGAGAGAGGCCTCATCCTCATCCACCATTCTCCTCTGCTCCTTTCCACGCTCTATCTGTTGATTCACTCTCTCCCCGCTCCTTCTTGCCCCTGCTCTCTTGTATCTATCTATCTTTTGGCCTGCAAGAGAACACCACACACAGCATTGCTGAGCTGAAGAGAGGGGTCTGAGCTGTGTGTGTGTGTGTGTGTGTGTGTGTGTGTGTGTGTGTGTGTGTGTGTGTGTGTGTGTGTGTGTGTGTGTGTGTGTGTGTGTGTGTAAGCCTAGGCTATACTAGTATATATGTGGGTGGCCTGCATTTCATTATCCCCTCCAAAGAGATATAGAGAAAGTCTATTTTTATAGATATAGGCTCCATATTATAGAAATATGTAGAGTAAGACAAACAGTTCTCAACTGCGAAATGGGATGTTTTTGGGTATGTGTCGGCTATCCAAAACAGACTGCTTACAATGAGCGTTAGGTCTGTATGTAGACTCTCAGAGCCTCATCACGCCCCCTACTGACATATGAAATAAATAGTTTTTCTACCGACAGCCAACAGACAGATTCCCTGAAGACAAAAGACTGTAGGCGGGGTTTAAAGACTGGGCCATCTGCGTGGTGGGGAGGGCTGCTGGTGTGTGTGTGTGTGTGAGAGAGAGAGAGAGAGATGGAGAGAACCCCCTATACAAGGCCTTTATTTGCATTATGAAAAAGTGGGTAGGCTTGCAAAGGTGGCCATCTCATATCCCACCAAACCAAGAACTCACAGAGTGGCCTATAGAGTAATACTTTACTCTTTTGTTTGGGGTCCGCATTACTGTATGTAATAGTAATAAATCAAATGTTCCTTTTGTATTCTTGTGAATACAAATCTTTTGTATTCTTCTGACAAACACCGCACAAACGCCTTATTACACTAAAAAAGGAAATATTTCATGTTTTATGTTTTATATGGGCTATGTAGGAAGAAATTATTATTTTTACTTGCCAAAAGACTATTGAAAGACAAAGAAATGCACAGTCTGTTCTCCTGCATAGTGGGTCACTTTAACTCCAGAGAGGTCAAACCCCCTGTAATGACCAAATGATCCAAATCCAGTTGTTTGGAATTTGGGAGGGGTATTGTCAGCTGTCAACACCAATTACACATATAGAGCAAATGAAAATCCACTGTATTCAACCATGTCGTGTGTCATTGTCTGTAGCAGACTGCTTCAACATGTCATTACTTGACAATCAGCTTTAAAAGCAATTTTCATGAAATTAGGAAAAAGGTCATGAGGTGTTAAACTGAGAAAACAATGTTAAGTTCAGATTTTGGCTATTAAAGAGGGCCTGGGGTCTCCATGATCCTGAATAGAACATGTGGGTTAAGTGTAAAAGACATAACAGGTA